TAACTGTGCACTCATTTCTAATTATTGTGGTTGCTAGAAATTGGGAATTTCATGGATGTTCACAATGCCTTCTTGCATGGAGACCTATAAGAGGAGGTGTATATGAAACTTCCTTTAGGATTTTGATATGGAGCTTCAGGCAAAGTTTGTAGACTTCACAAGTCATTATATGGGTTAAAACAAGCTCCTTGATACTGGTTTGCAAAATTTGTCAATGCTTTGCAACACTATGAATTTACACAATCATCCTCCAATCATTCACTCTTTACACTCCAACGTGAAAATGTGCAACTCCATGTGTTAGTCTATGTGGATGATCTCATGATTTCAGGTAATGACGGTGTTGATATTAAAGCCTTCAAAACATACTTGTATGTATATTTTCATATGAAAGACTTTGGAACGTTAAAATATTTGTTAGGCATTGAGGTGACTCGTAACTCTACTAAAATTTTTTTGTTGTCAACGCAAATATGCGTTGGATATTATATCTTAGGAGTTAAGCCGGTTGGCTCTCCCATGGATTCTTAACATTACCTATTATTAGCCGAATGTGCTTTTCTTCCAGATCCAAAATAATATAGAAAGTTGGTGGGACGGTTAATTTACTTGTCTGTTACTATGCTTGAACTTTCTTATTGTGTGCATACACTTGCACAGTTCATGTAACATCCTCGACAAGAACATTACAATGTTGCCCTATGTGTTATGCATTTTTGTAAGGCTATCTTGGACAATAAATTTTGTTAAATCCTAATTGTGATTTAAAACTCTATACTTGGTGTGACTTAGATTGGGCTAGTTGTCCTTTGACTATAAATTCTCTTATTGGTTGGTTTGTTTTTCTTGGTAATTCACCAATTTCATGAAAAACTAAGAAACAACACATTGTGTGTCGTTCTTCCACAAAAACATAATGTCGGTTCTATGGTTACTACCATTTGTGAGCTGAAATGACTCAAGAAACTCTTATCATGTTTTGATATTAATCATCATAAACCTATAAAACTCAATTGTGATAATTAGGTTGCATTTCACATTACAACTAATCCTATTTTCCATGAACATACTAAACATATCGAAGTGGACTGCCACTTTATCTGTGATGAACTTTTGCAAAGAACTATTGCTATAGGTCGGTCATGTGTCTTCTTATGCTCAGCTGACAGATATCTTCACTAAGGTTTTAGGAATAACTCAATTTGATTATGTTTTTCTTTTTAAGTTGGGCATTTATAATCTATATACTACAACTTAAGAGGAGATAAATATCTTTTAATAGTTTCTCAATATTATATATGTTATAATTGTGATAGTTTGTACAAATTTTGTTTAGGAATAATTATTATGTAAAATTAAAGGACAATAAACTTTATATATATATATATATATATATATATATATATATATATATATTGAATTTGGTTAATAATAAAAGGACAAAAATTACATCTCTTTAAAGTGCCATTAATATTTGTAGCAACAATTCCTTCAATGTCTATTAATTGAAAAAATGACATAATAATTGTTCTTAAAACAAATATCTCAAATGACATTTTATATTTACTAAACCATAAACTCCCTTACATTTTCAATCTAACCAAACAAAACTAGTATGATTATCATTGAACAAATTACCATAATAATTACAACACTTTTATTTATTTATTTTATTTTTATGGTCTTCTTTATAATTTTTCTTTTTTTTTTGCAACTTCCGTATCATCTTCTTATGCTTTTTAATATCTTCAATAACTAATGACATGAATGTTTCCATCGTTGACTAATCTTACCCTCCAATTTGGTTTGCTTCGGAAACAAATTTTTATGAATTTCTTATATTGTGGTTAGAATAAGTTGCTAATTGCTACAAATGAAGTTTGTTATTAATATATTTAAATAAAATATTATTTGTTTGAAGTGATTTTTTATTTGAAGAATATTATGTATGTAACATGATAAGATATTTAATTTTGTTTTGGTAGTTATTTCATTAAATAAATTTCAAAAAATAAATAAATTAAAATAAATAATTAGAGAAAATAGAAGAAATAATTATTTTATTTTTTAAATTTTCAATAAAATAAAATCAACATTAGATTTCTTAAAAATAACGTTATATCATTAAATTTTTCAACAAATCATGATTTTATAATCTAACTTCTCTTCACTTATTAAAACAGTTTTTAAATTTAAAGATTAATTATTTGTTTGGTTCAATTTTATTTTGTAATTTTTAAAATAAATTTTACATATAAGTTTTAAAAAATTATTTTTGAAAATAAATTAGAAAAATATTTTTTTTGTATGTGTGCTTGTGAAAATTATTATAAATTAAAGATAAAAGTATGAAGTCGTAATAAAAATTAAAAAACTAATTTTAATAAATTTATGATAAAAATGAATGACTATTAATCAAAACATTGTTAACCTGAAAACAAAACATTAAAACAGAAAACATGTTTGATAATTTTTTATTTAGTTTTTAAAAACTATAAAACAAAATCAGGTTTAAAAACTTCTTTTATAAAAAATTACCAAATAAATATTTTATATTTTAAAAACTATAAAATTGGAAACTTTTTTTAAAAGAAAAAAATAAGCAAGTTATAGAATTTAAAAATAATAAATAAGCAAGATATAGATTTTATAAATAAATCAGATAAAACCTTATTTAATAACTTTATTTAAAAAAAAAATGACATAAATAACTACAAATTTTCATACGGAGTTAAAAAACAAGTTTGAGGATAAAAATTAGTAATTTAATATAGTTATTTGATAATAACGTGTTAACGTTTAAAAATTATATTGTATTAATATATTTTATCAATTTAATTTATCAATTTAAAAATAAAATATATTTTTTAAAACTATTTTTAAAAAATGAATAGTAAGTATTTTTAAAGAGAATTTTAAAATATTTTAAAAATAGTAAATAAAAAAAAGCTTATAAAAATGTTTTTTAATTAACGTGTATCAATTTTTTTATCAATAGTTATATATATATATATATATATATATATATATATATATATATATCATAAAATTATGATTTTTTTCCCTTATTTTAACTCTCATTCCTTTTCATATAAATATTTATTTTAAAATTATTAAATATTTTTTTCAACTTATTTGAAAAATATGTTTTAAAGATTATCTCTATTTTTTTCAAATAAAAACAAAATTAAATCAAATAAATTTTAACTACTCTTTTCCGTTATTTTTTAATATATAAACATTGTAAACTAATTTTGCAAAACAACAAAGAATATTTATAATATAAAAATTATGTTTTAGATTTTTGGTTTAAATTTATATTGCGATACATTTTTTTAATCATTTATATCTTCCAAAGTAGATACAAATTAATTAAGATAAAATAAAATTAAGACGAACTCTGAATAATTTTCAACAAAAAAAAATCACTGACTTCCTAAAATAAACAAATTTCTTTTTCTAAAGAATATATTTGAAGAAAATATTTTACAAATTTCTTTTTCTAAAGAATATATTTGAAGAAAATATTTCAACGTATATATATATATATATATATATATATATATATATATATATATATAGAGAGAGAGAGAGAGAGAGAGAGAGAGAGAGAGAGAATATAATATAAAAAAGTTATATATTTACAATGTAGATTAATTTTATACAAATTTGAAATTTTATCCTAAACATGTATTAGCAATATCTTTTTATTGATTATATGTTTAAAACTTTCTACATTAATAAAATGCGTGATTATTATCTTTGTATAGATACAAAATATAAACAGAAATAAATATTATATACCATTTATTTCATCATTATCTTTTCGTAATTACAAAATAAAAAAAAACAAATATTATATATGATTTATTTCGTGTCACCATTATTTTTTATGGGTGAAAAAAAAAATTATATTCGCTTTATCTCGTGTCACCATTATCTTTTTATAAATGCAAAATATAAACAGAAATAAATACCCTATACGATTTATTTCGTACCAAAAGTAATTTTCACGTCTTTATTTAATAATTACATTTATTAATTTAAATTAAGTATATATTTTTTTGATTAAATTATGTTTTGGATTTTTAATCTTGTAATATTATTAATTTTGGTTTTATATTTGGTTATTTTAAAGTGATTACAAAAAATAATTAAACACGTTTATAAAATTAGTTTAAGGACAAAAATATTTTTTAAATCAAAAGGATTAAAACGAGAAAATAACGAAATAAAATTTAAATATTTTTTAGAGGGACAACGTATTTTGATTTTTTTTTTCTGTTTTGAATTTGAGAAGAGAGAGAGAAAAACATTACAAAAGGTAGAAAAGATATTTTTGTTGTTTCTAACTCTGAAAGCGCCCTCTCTTCTCTCTCTTTCTGCAACCAAAGCCAAATTAGGGTTTCTCGATCTTCTTCGTTTTTCACTCTTCTCACCATTTCAGGGTTTTACCTTTCCGATACAAACACAGGTGGGTCTTCTCTCTCTGCAATCTGCATATCATTATTTCTTCGTTGCTTCTGTTGTGGTAGTATTTTGCTCTTTTTGTTTGGTTTGGTTGTTGCCGTGCTTGTCTTTTGATGACATTGTGCTTGGTTCGATATCCTAGACCAACTTCTGCTATAGTCTATTTGAGATTATGAAGAGGGTGAACTTGTTTGTATGTATTCACTGCCTTGTTCTCCTCTTTTGTTTAGTTTTTGCTTTGCATATTTTGCGCCTTGGTCAATTGTATTTGACGTGTTCTGCTAGTAGACTCTTTCTCTGTGTGATATCATGATGTAAAGATGTTTGCAATGGTTACTGATTGGAATTCTGTTGTGTTGCAGGGTTGGTTCTGAGCAATTTTGTTCTTTTTAAATATAGTATTTATCTTTTCAACTGCTTTTTTATTTATTTGGGACTTCTTGTAAAGTTGTTATCACGAATCTGGAAAGGAGGGTTTTTTCCTTCGAATTTTGAAGACGGCTGTTGACGACAAGAATTTGTGATTGACTATGCGAGCTTCATGGGCTGATTTGGCTGCAAATTCTGCAGCTGAAAATGCAGGTCCCGGATTTCCTGCTAACAGTGTGGGAACTGGTAGCACTCTAGCTCCTTCACGACCAGTTTATGTTCCTCCCCATCTTAGGAACCGCCAGCCATCAGCAGATGTCCCCGCACCAGCATACAGTGGTCCTTCTTCTGGTTCTGTAGGCTCTAGTGCTGGTGCAGGAAATGCTGGATCCCGCTGGCCTGCACCCAGAAATGATTATCGTTCTGGGTACGGTGGTGGTGGACGCCCAGGTGGTTGGGGAAATAAAAGTGGTGGGTGGGATCGTGGCAGGGAACGGGAAGTCAATCCCTTTGAAGAAGAGAATAATGGTGAAGAGGCATTTAGTGAGCAGGAGAATACAGGAATAAATTTTGATGCATATGAGGACATTCCAGTGGAGACTAGTGGTGAAAATGTACCTCCACCTGTGAATACATTTGCAGAGATTGACCTGGGTGAAGCACTTAATCAGAATATAAGAAGGTGCAAATATGTGAAGCCAACACCTGTTCAGCGGCATGCCATACCAATATCCCTAGCTGGACGGGATTTGATGGCTTGTGCACAGACTGGTTCTGGAAAGACAGCTGCATTCTGTTTCCCGATCATCAGTGGAATTATGCGAGGCCAACCTGTCCAGAGGCCACCTCGTGGGGTGCGGACAGTGTATCCTCTAGCGCTTGTTCTCTCTCCAACGAGGGAGTTATCAATGCAAGTGAGTTAGTTATATTAACCTGATATTATGGTATGATTTTACTTGACACTGTTTTAATGAAAATACATTCTAAATGTTCTAATTTGGTTTCAGATACATGAAGAGGCCAAGAAGTTTTCATACCAAACTGGTGTTAGGGTGGTTGTTGCTTATGGTGGAGCACCAATAAACCAGCAGGTTTTTGTCCCTTTTATCTTTGTTTCTCTTTATTTTCCACTTTACCCGCAACTAGATATGAGTCCACGTCATGATTTTCTTAATATATGTTTCAACTATTATAGGTCTTTCTTACTCTGGTGTGTATACATCTTATTATACCTAGCAAAGTTAGTTCACGTTTGAGAACCAAGTCTGATAAGCATTAGGAATTGGATCATAATGCGTTAGGAGATTTATGATAAATAAATAAAAATGTTTTATATAGCCAACAAAGTCATAACAACATAGAACTAAAAGCATTTAGACAAAAGGAAACATTTAAAACATCTATATATTGGCATTTTAAATTCCAATAACTCACTATGTAGCAAATAAATTGAAATATAAACATTGGAAATAACCTTAATTAAATGCTTAACAGTCCACATAAACTTCAAAAAAAATCAAGAGTATTGCAGGGGACACTTACACAGTGGCTTCAGACAATAACCTGTTTTTATTGGTTGCATTAATTTTTCACCCTTTCAGCATGCACAGCCAGAACTCATGTCATAGAGTCCAAGTGCAAGGAATAAAAACAAAATATAGAGACGACAACAATTAAATACTAGAAGAAGTGGTTGGGAACAGCCCGGCTTTTAATAATAATTCAAACAGCAAGAAATACTACAAAACACAGCATATATGAAGCATGTGTAGTGTGGGGGGAGAGAAAGTGGAAGTGGAGAAACGAAAATAATATTACTTTTTATTAAGTATTTCATGTAGGTGTCATTGGATGGAGATGATTTGATGTTTTCAGTGACCCAGACTGTGGATTCACCAATCTAGCCTCCCGCAAACCCAACTTGCAAGCCCACTCCCTCCCTTATTTATTTTTTCTTGTTGACATGTTCACTCGAGTTGTGGATAATGAGTCCTTATAAGGTTTGGGAATCCTTGCCCTCGTGGCAATTTTGTGAGATTAAGTTAGATCTTAAGCTCAAATTTTAAGATTGTATTAGATCTGTCTTAGATCTATTTTAAGATTACCTATGCTTGAAATGTCATTCCTAGGTGTGAGGTGGTGTGTTGAGATCCCCCTTTTTGAATATAGATATGTCTAATGTAGTCTGTATATAATTTGGGCAACCCTAACTTTACAAGCCTTTTTAAAAGGTTGAGTTAAAGCCCTAAGCCCAAATTTAAGGTGTTGAGGTTTGCCCAATCCTTATAAGGAATACAATGATGATCTTTCTGTCTTCTTTTCCCCTCATAAAACTCTGGAGTTGGGTTTTATTGGCCTTTATTTGAGATTTGAGATACATTCTGTACTGTGTTCATTATTATATATGGTGGAATATCTTTCACAATCCTTGAAGAGATAATTCACTTAAGGATCAAGAGATAAATATTTGTAGTGAACTCGGATAGGAGTTGTTCTTGACAAAATAATGCTTTGATCTAGTCACCATCAGAGCCACAAAAGACTATCAAAGTTCATTCTATTCTGTTGATAAGCTGTGACTCAGTCCAATAACAATCCTCAACCTGGTCAGCAATGAGGTGATTCCAAGCCTATCTTTAACAATCCTTGATGTAGATAATATCTGTCATATGACCTGGGTATTTTGGTTTGCTAAATGAGTCATAGGTGATAGACCTCGAGTGTGTTCAGTTGGGATTGTATGATGCTATTCATCTTTCAAGCTTGGACTGCAGCATCAATTAATCTCAGCTAACTGTTATTTTATGTTGAGTTTAGGATAGCTCATGGCATTGGAGATTGTCAAATTGCACAATCGTTCACACACTATTGTGATTTTGTCTACCATTCTGAAATAAACAAATTTGGATTTACAAACATACATGGATGGTCAAGATTGATTTAATTTAGTTTTAATTAATTTAAATTTTGTCCATTCATGTATAATTTTACCATGGTAAAAAATTATTGTTCTTGTACACAATGCTTATATGGATAATTATGCGCCTATCCACAGCCTGGGTATAGGATAGGCAGTTATGTGCATATGCTTTGCTTTTGAAAGAACTTGTCTCTAACTATGTTTGGTGAGCATTACTGGGGTTGGCTTTATTCTTCTGGTCAGAATCTTAGAACCTGTTCTTATATTATTGGGCTTTTGATGTGTAATTTACTTTAAAATTTATAGACTTTGATATGTTCTGTATTTAAATTTTCAATTGTAAGCTACTGTATCCTGATCTACAGTCATTACTATTTCATAATATATATTTTTGCAGAAGGTGAATGATCTTATCTTATGATTAATATTAATTACATGTTTTAGGTTGTTCAAACTGTGAAATTTTGTTACATTCTTTTAGAGCTTAGATACTGTTTGGATATTCATCATTTCATTCTTCCAATTATGTTGCAACTTTGTATCTGACAGAAGTTTGAATGTCTGTATTTGTTGGTTAAGAACTTTGTATATTCTAGTACATTTGCTGAATGTGAAGCACCTTGTATTAGGAACCTGAAACCAATCTCTCTAGATGTATCTCTTGTAGATTCTGTCTTTTTGCAAAATTTCCTTAATGGATCCAATATGGAACCTCTATTAACCTATCAAAATTTTTCCTTTAAATGATATTAAGAACTTTTGGGTTTTGGTATACACTCTGCTCTAACAAGTTATTTTTTCTCTAGCTGCGGGATCTTGAACGAGGGGTGGACATTCTTGTTGCAACTCCAGGAAGACTGGTAGATTTGCTGGAGAGAGCTAGAGTTTCACTGCAGATGATTCGATATTTGGCCTTGGATGAGGCAGATCGGATGCTGGATATGGGTTTTGAGCCACAAATAAGGAAGATTGTAGAGCAGATGGACATGCCTCCACCAGGTGTTAGACAGACTATGTTGTTCAGTGCAACATTTCCAAAAGAGATACAGGTCTGTTATAGTCTGTAAAATATGCTTTCGTGTAAGCATGCTTTCATTTGGCATGTTATTTTATTAAAAATATGCAAATTTTGCTACCATTCCTACTTCATGGGTCATTTAGGATTTCTTGCCCACCTCTTTTACTTCCCCCTTATCTCTAGGACCTGCATACGGGCTCGTTTTAATGCTCTGGCTATACAATTGTCATGCCTAGGGAGGCGAGTTTTACTTTTCAGTGTAGGTTGTATGCTCTGATATGCATTTTCCTTGTGTATTTTTTGAATCACATAGCATCCAGAGGTCTTTCTGTCTATCTCCTCTTATTGCAGAAAGTGTGCCTATTGTAATAATATAAAGTGGTTGTTTTTAATTTGATTTGAGATGATAAGTGGCTTGAGAGGTATAAACAATGCATGAATACCTATCGGTTGTGTATATTATAACTTTCAAGGCATCTTTATTCTTATGATTTCTGGTTGATATGCAGAGACTGGCTTCTGATTTTCTTTCAAAATATATTTTCCTGGCTGTTGGAAGAGTGGGTTCAAGTACCGATTTAATTGTCCAAAGAGTTGAGTATGTTCAAGAGTCTGACAAGAGAAGTCACCTAATGGACCTTCTTCATGCACAGAGGGCAAATGGTGTACAGGGAAAGGTACTTCACTTGCCTTAAACTTAACACAAGTGTTTTAGTAACTAATTGAATGTCATGATCATTTTTACCTATGCCACCAATGAATATGGAACTTTTGAGTTTGTACGGTGTCAAATTTCCATCAGAAATACCTGAGTTTTTCATAATAGCTATTGCCTCGTGAACTATTCTGACCCACTTGGCATCGGTAGTTCTGTTTTCTGAGTGATGCCTATACTATACTCGTCTACTCATGCATGAATTTTTATTTGAAAGAATTAAGACAATTAGAAAACATATGCTAACAGATTAGAAGATAAGAGATGCTTCCTGAGAAAACAAAAGAGAACAGAAGAATATTCAAAGTCCTTTTTAAAATGACCACGAGTTTTACATTATAACCAAGTAGAAGACTAACATCGAATATTGCCCCAAAGAATTTACTTGTCCATAGAATTGTTCATGATGATCCAAAAACTACTCTCTGAAATATACCCAAAAGTTTAGCATATATGACTTATTGCCACACTTTGGCTTCTTATCTTCCACTAAAAGCAGCAAAACCAGTGATAAAACAATGATTGGAGGACTTTAGGGCATACCCAGCTCTCTCAATAAAGCCAAACAAGTTAGTTTTAATAAAAAACTCCCGAATAGTCTGTAAAACTGATTCTGAGCAGCATGCTTGCACTTGTGTGTATTGTCATACTAGGTCAATGCGTGGATTATGTTTTTGTATTATTTTTTAACTGAGGTATGCCTTTGCAAAGTTGCGTTTAATCTATTTTGTTCTCTCATTGTATAGTTATTTACTGTGTTTCTTTATAAGTAAAATCTTTCTAAATTATTATTTATAAGCTTATTTCGAGCATGACTTTGCAGCAAGCTTTGACTTTAGTTTTTGTGGAGACAAAGAAGGGAGCTGATTCGCTGGAACACTGGTTGTGTCTTAATGGTTTTCCTGCAACTACTATTCATGGGGACAGGTCGCAGCAGGTTAGTCTATTACTCAAATGTTAACAGCAAACAGTTATTGTAATTGGTTGTCATATATCTATAAAAAATGGGTTATATAGTTAAACACTTATTAACTACTAAGTGGGATTGAGGTACTTAAACACTCCACTGAGCATCCCATATTACTCTATGTGAGATTGAGGCACCCCATAATACCCAAATTCCTATCATAGAACTGCCCTTGATAATCAGATCTGATACCAATTGATAAGCCCCAAATCATTTGGGAACTCACTCAAGGTAGCTAGCTGCTGGGGGGGGGGGGACCGAGCACTTAAACACTCCACCTAGAGCATCCTATACTACTTGATGTGGAACCAAGGCACTCCAGAATACCCAAGCTCCTTTCACACTGCTATGTGGAAAATTGAATGGCATTCCTCATTCCACGTTGCTTGCCAGGAAAATGAACATGTCTTAAATTTCTTATAGCATTTGTAGTTCTGCTCATTTAAGGCTCCTGTCTCATTTAAGAATCAGTTGCAGTTGCACACTTAGCGTAACTTTATAATAATTTATTTTAGCAATCAATCCTTAAATTATATCTAAATTCTTAAAATATTAGGAAGGATGACCAACCTTGATGTCTCATTAGCAGAGAAGCACGATAACAAGGGAGAAATAAGAATAAAGAAGAGAAGATCAGAAACGAGGAAAGATACTTTCACCTGAATGCCTCCATAGCCAATGAAGTTGGTTTTCATAATTCTTTAGGGGATTTATATAGGGATATAACACCAAATAGATGGTTGCATCTATTTTCTATTAGCATGAATGGAAGGAACTAATTTGTTATAGTTCTCCTGCAATATATTGAATTTTAATAGTCGTCGACTGCATGCCTATGAAACATATTTCAACTGAAAATATGAAACATAGAATCTTTAACCTTTACAAGATGCACTAGTCAAACATTTCAAGAAGATAAGAACAGTCATCAAATAGTTATTCCTGTAAAAGAATTGGTTTTTGTTGCAGGCAATGTAATGAAGTATTAAATTATTGGGAATCCTTTTTCGGGAAAATTAGATTAAATGAAATCTTATTTTTTTATTTTAATACAAAGAGATTATCCAAGATATATACAGGAGACCTAAGTTATTTTAGGAAATATAATAACTCTATTTTATTCTAGGATCCCTTGATTTATGGGATTGTTCCTAATTGTTCAAATATGTACAGATTACAAATTTTCTAATTTATTCTTTCCTAAAATACTATTTGATTTCCCACATTCCCCCTCAAGCTGCTGAATAGGTGTTTTCCATTCCCAGCTTGGATACAATCTTCTCAAAATTGTGGCAGCTCAGTCCCTTGGTAAGAATGTCTGCAATTTAGTCTTGAGAGGACACATATGGAGTGCATATGAAGCCACTATCATGTTTTGTTCAATTTACTTAAGTATGTTTTGTTCTATCATGTTGCACTGGGTTGTGGGCTATACTGATTACTGACTTATTATCACAATAGAGCTTCATAGGTTCTTCCTATTTTATCTTCAAGTCTTCTAAGATGATTTTAAGCCATAGCAACTCACATATACCTTGTGCCATGGCTCGGAATTCCGCTTCAGCATTGGACCGAGCCACTACACCCTGCTTTTTGCTTCTCCAAGTCACAAGATTTCCTCCAAGAAAGGTGCAATATCCTGTAGTTGACCCCATATCCACAATTGATCCTGCATAATCAGCATTAGTATAGGCTTCAAGCTTCACATTACCATTCCTTTTGAATAGAATCCCTCTTCTTGGAGTTCCTTTAAGGTACTGTAAAATTCTGTGGGCTGCTTGTAAATGGGTCTCCTTTGGGTTATGCATAAATTGGCTAATTAAACTCACTGCATAGGCAATATCTGGCCTGATATGTGACAAATATATAAGTCTGCCCACTAATCGCTGGTACATATCTTTTTCAATAGCAACATCTTCTGCATTTCCAAGCTTTAGATTTGGTTCTAATGGGGTACTAGCAGGTTTGCAAGCTGCCTTGCTAGTTTCCTTGAGCAAATCAGTGATGTATTTCTGCTGGGATATAAATATCCCTTTCTTGGAGTGGGCAACTTCAATTCCCAAAAAATATTTTAGTTTTTCCAAGGTCTTGATCTCATATTCCTTATCTAAGTATTGACTCAACAATTGCTGCTCTTCTTTATTATCTCTAGCTAATATTATGTCAGTTAAGAGAATAAAGAGAGTGAAAAGAAGATTTCTAATTTTGTGGGATTCATTACTCCACTCTATGATCTCATATATATATATATATATATATATATATATATATATATATATATATATATATATATATATATATATATATATATATATATATATAGGATTACAACATTTAAAACAACCACCAACTACTAACCACTAACCACTAACTAATAATAATTCTAACACTCCCCCTCAAGCTGGAGCATACAAATTGTATGTACCAAGCTTGGAACAAATAAATTCAATTCGAGGTCCTCTTAAAGACTTTGTCAACACATCTGCAAGTTGATCATTGGACCCGACAAATTCAGTGCATATTTCTTTAGACAACAATTTTTCACGAATAAAATGACAATCAAGTTCTATATGTTTGATCCTTTCATGGAACACCGGATTAGAGGCAATGTGGAGAGTTGCTTGATTGTCACAATACATCTTCATCTGTTGGATCTCACAAAATTTCAGTTCTTGAAGGAATTGTTTCACCCACACTAGTTCACAAGTGAGAGATGCCATTGCCACCAATGATGAACAGGCATATTTCCACTAAGTAATAAGGTACAAGTAGTTTCAACCAAATGTCTATTTTTTCGTTCTGCTATACCATTTTGTTGTGGTGTGTGAGGACAAGTAGACTGGTGTAAAATGCCTTGGGAGCTTAAGAGAGTGGAGAAATTAGAAGAAAAGTAGTTTTTGGCATTATCACTTCGTAAAACTTTGATTACTTTTCCAAATTGATTTTTGATTTCGTTAAGGAAAGACTTAAAGTTAGGTAATAATTCAGAACAATCTTTCATTAGATAAATCCAAGTACACCTCAAAAACTCATCAATGAAGATAACAAAATATCTATAGCCAAAGGATGAGACACGACTAGGACCTAGTATGTTTAGGAAAAAAGGACCTAGTATGTTTCCCTAGTTGACATGATTCGCATTCAAAATCTTAAAGAGTTTGAAGTTCAGGAACCATTTTTTTTAATCTTGATAAGTGAGGGTGCCCTAACCGTTCGTGTAATAGTTTTGGAGACAAGGATGCAACACAAGATACAGATGATTTAGTCCCAAGATAGTATAAGCCTCCAGATTCATGTCCTTCGCCAATCTGTTGACCCGTACCATGTTCTTGTATAACAAAAGAGTTGGCATTAAAGGTTACTGAACAATTCAATAATTTGGTTAATTGACTTAGGGAAATGAGACTGAAGGGATATGAAGGAACAAAAAGAACAGATTTTAAGTTTAAAGACAGAGAAATGGAGACTTGACCAGTTCCTTTAGAAGCTACTTTAGATAAGTTGGCTAAGGTTATAAGATGAGGAGTTTTAGGAAATGAGAGAGAAGAGAACAAAGAGGTATTACCAGACATGTGATTAGAAGCACCTGAGTCAATAATCCATGGATTTTGACTTTCCATAGATTGTGAAATGTAAGCTGTTGATGAATTTGGGGTTGTTGATGACTGTGCTAGATTATTGGTTTTCAACCTCAAATATTCCTGATATTATTCGCGAGAGAACTTGGGTTCAACCATTTCAGATTTGAAAAAATTGACAGTTTTATCAGGAAAACCGTGCAAAGAGTAGCAATTTTTCACTGTATGACCCATTTTCTTGCAATGAGTGCACTGAGGACGTCCTCTACCTCCACATCCTCCTTTAGTGCCGTGACTTCCTCTTCCATGGGTAGAAATCATAGCAGAAGATTCAACCAGTTCTTGATTATTTTTTCCTTTGAGAGTTGGAACACGAAGCAGTCTTGTAGTCAAACTTTCCATAGAAGGAACTTCTTGTTCAGTTAAAATTTGATCTCTAACATGATCAAATTCTGAATTCATAGCACGGAGAGTCATAACCATATAGAATTTATCCAACTTTTGTTTTATCTCCTCTAACGAATCCACCTCTAGGAACATCTTTAATTCTTCAACTGCTGATTGAGCTTCAGCAATAAAGGTCATTATATCTTTGTCCACTTGCTTGAGAGAGGCTAATCGATTAGCGGAATCATAGAGGCGTTGGATATCATTTGCAAAGATATTCTGAGCTTTTTTCCAGAAAGAATTACATGTTTTGAAGGATTTGAGAGTGTTCAAAATATTTGGTTCTACTGATTGCCACAGTAGAGCACAGAGTTGATAATCAAGCTTTTTCCATTGTTGAGTCTGTTCTTCTGGTATCTTACTTCCGTCTTCTTCTAGATGATCGTGAAACCCTTGTCCAAGGAACCAAAGTTCCATTGAAGAGGACCAAGACATGTAAATTTTTCCATTTAATTTCTCAGCCGTTATTGTGGGAGTTCCGGAAAAGGAGGTTGTGGGCCCTGACGACATGTTTTAAATAATATAGATGTAAGATGGAGACAATGGAACCTGTAAGAAAGAGAACACCCAAGATAGCCGGAAGGTTACTGGAGGTGGTCGGAAAGTCGTCAGACGGCAGCAAAAAAAAGGTGACTGGACGGGGGACTGACGGTTGCCGAAAAGTGACCGGAAAGTGGTAGGACGGTGACCGGAAAGTGGTCGGACGGTGACCGGAAATGGTCGGACAGTGGCAGGGAAATGGTTGGACAGTGGTCGGATGGTGGCCGGACAGGCAGAGCAGGACCAACCTGCTCTGATACCAAGTTAAGAGAGTAAAGAGAGTGAAAAAAAGATTTCTAATTCTGTGGAATTCATTACTCCATTCTATGATCTCTTATATATATAGGATTACAACATTTAAAACAACAACCACCAACTACTAACAACCACCAACTACTAACCACTAACTAATAATAATTCTAACAATGTCATCCACATACACCAATAATATTGTTACTTCCCCTGACTTGAAATGTTTAAAGAACAAAATATGGTCCCCTTGGCTTTGTTTGTAACCCAAACTTGTCATAATTTTAGTAAACCTGCCAAACCATGCACGGGGGGACTGTTTTAGCCTATATAATGCCTTTTTTCAACTTGTAAACAGTGTTGGCAACATCTCTACCATATCCCGGAGGTATCTTCATATAAATTTCTTCTTCAAGGTCTCCATGTAGGAAAGCATTCTTAACATCAAATTGGTCCAAGTTCCAACTATAATTGGCAGTAAGAGACAATATCACCCTAACTGTGTTCATTTTGGCAACCAGAGCAAAGGTCTCCAAATAATCAACTCCATAGGTTTGGGTGAACACTTTGGCAACTAGTCTTGCCTTATATCTCTCAATTGATCCATCAACCTTGTATTTCACTGTATAGACCCATTTACATCCAACTGACCTCTTTCCTATTGGTAAGGTGACTAACTTCCAGGTGTTGTTCTTCTCCAATGCCTCCATCCCTACATCCATGGCTTATCTCCATTTTCTGTCAGACAATGGTTTAGATAGGGTATTAGATAGAAGTACAGTGTTTAGGTTTACTAGGAAGGTTTTATGGGTAGGAGAGAAATTTTTAAAGGACAGGTAATTGAGAGAGGGTAGAGTGGTTGTTTGGTGCATTTTCTTGTTCCTTTTCTAATGGCAATTGGGAGGTCAAGATCATATTGAGTTTCAATTTCAATATGCACAACTGGAGAAAAATTGTCACCTTTTTTTGTGGAGTCGAGTTATATTCTTGAACATGGCTTGATCTTGGAATGACCTTAGTCTTCCTTGAGTACACCAGTTTCTTACCAAATTATCCAGCTCCAACATCTTCTTGATCAGCTTCACAATTAATTTCACTTTCTTGACCAACTTCCTTTTCTTGACCAATTCCTTGACTTGTTTCACTTGTTACAACTTCAATTTGATCTCGTTTAAGTTCAAATATAAAGTCGGGAAGAATGGGAAAACTAGAAATACTACTTTCAATTTGATCTCGTTTAGGTTCAAATATCAAGTCTGGAAGAATGGGAAAACCAGAATTATTACTTTCCTTATCTTCCCTAAAACTCTCCCCCTGAAGATAAGGTTGATGGAAATAACCCTCTTGTTCATTGAAGGTAACATCCCTAGACACAGAGAATTTTTTGGATGGGGGGTGATAACATTTATACCCTTTCTGAGTGGGTGAGTAACCAACAAAGACACACTTTAAGGCTCTAGGATCAAGTTTCCCCGTGTCTGTACTATGAATATGGACATATGAGATGTACCCAAAAACTTTTGGTTTAAGATTATTTGTAGTGGACAGGTTTGGATAGAAAGACGACAAAGCTTCCATAGGGTTTTTTGATCCTAAGAAGACTCTAGAGGGTAGTATATTGATAAGGTATGTTGCTGTAAGGACAACTCCCCCTTAGAAATTTTTTGGGACACTTTTTTGGAACAACAATGCCCGAGTCTGATATAATATATGTCCATTTTTCCTCTTTGCAACCCCATTCTGCTGTGGTGTTTTGACACAAGAGGACTCATGAATTATACCTTCTTTTTGACAAAGAGAATTAAGGACATGATTGAAGTAATATTTGACATTATCTTACCTAAGCCTCTTAATATTAGCACCAAATTGATTTTTTATCAAGGAGTGGAAGTTTAGGAAGACAAAACTGACTTTGGATTTTTGTTTAAGTAGGAAAACCCAAGTGACCCTTGTTCAGTCATCTATAAAGGTGACAAACCATCAAGCACCAGACACATTTGGAACATTAGAAGGTTCCCATACATTAGTACGAACAAGATAAAAAGGGAAATTGTTAATTTTATTACTTATTGGAAAAGATACATGCTTGTGCTTAGCAAGTTCACACACCTCACAATGAAGACTCTCAACATCTAACTTGGTAAACAGAGAGGGAAACATAATTTTGATCACTCCAAAAGAGGGATGTCCCAACCGACAATGATAAAACATGATTTTTTCTCTGTTTGTCATCAAGGATGTAGATATGAAGGAGTGAGAGATTCTGTTCTTGCTGGATAGACTTGGATCTTCGAGATAATAATGGTCATTCCATTCTCTAGCATGTCCAATTATTCTCCCTGAATCCTTGTCCTGAAATACACAATGATAGTTGAAAAAAAACAACTTTACATGACAAATCCTTTATAAGTTTTTGTATAGACACTAGGTTGGTGGACAGCTTTGGGACATGAAGAACATCTTTTAAGGTTATTAAAGGATTGAAGTAATATTTGACATTATCTTACCTAAGCCTCTTAATATTAGCACCAAATTGATTTTTTATTAAGGAGTGGAAGTTTAGGAAGACAAAACTGACTTTGGATTTTTGTTTAAGTAGGAAAACCCAAGTGACCCTTGTTCAGTCATCTATAAAGGTGACAAACCATCAAGCACCAGACACATTTGGAACATTAGAAGGTTCCCATACATTAGTACGAACAAGATAAAAAGGGAAATTGTTAATTTTATTACTTATTGGAAAAGATACATGCTTGTGCTTAGCAAGTTCACACACCTCACAATGAAGACTCTCAACATCTAACTTGGTAAACAGAGAGGGAAACATAATTTTGATCACTCCAAAAGAGGGATGTCCCCACCGACAATGATAAAACATGATTTTTTCTCTGTTTGTCATCAAGGATGTAGATATGAAGGAGTGAGAGATTCTGTTCTTGCTGGATAGACTTGGATCTTCGAGATAATAATGGTCATTCCATTCTCTAGCATGTCCAATTATTCTCCCTGAATCCTTGTCCTGAAATACACAATGATAGTTGAAAAAAAACAACTTTACATGACAAATCCTTTATAAGTTTTTGTATAGACACTAGGTTGGTGGACAACTTTGGGACATGAAGAACATCTTTTAAGGTTATTAAAGGATTGACTTGGATATTTTCTCGACCAGCTACAATTATAAGGGTTCCATCTACTGTGACAATTTTCTTGTTGCTGGAATATGGGGAATATGTGGAGAAGTGTTTGGCTAATGGTGTCATGTGGTCTGTGGCTCCAGAGTCCAACATCCAATAATGGTTAGAAGGTGTATATGAGACATTTAATCTAAAAGAAAGTGGAAACTTACCTGAGTATGCCAAAGAACACACCTGTAGGTTTTTCCAGCTTACTAAGAAAGGTTTTCACCCTTTCTATCTCCTCTTGGTTAAGATGGGCAGTAACTTCTAGATTATTTCCTTCATTTGTTTCAGTAGCAACATAAACTCGTCCTCTTTTCCTTAAGAAGTCTCCTCTATGTCTTCCTTATCGCTCTCGATTTAAAGGCTTTCCATGTAACTTCTAACACTTATCTCGAGTATGATGAGGCTTATTGCAGTAGGTACACCAGAGACCATCACCTTTCTTCTCCACATTTGTTGATCCTCATTTCTTTTGTTCGGTTACCCCCTTTCTATTCAACACTATACGAACAAGTTGGACCCACTTCAAATAATTTCTTCCATTTAGTCTATATGCAGAATGGATATTCTGTAGTTCTCCATATTGCTGGGATTGGATATTCCCCGTTCTTGGGGTTGGGTTCATAACTTCCTCTTCCCTTGACATTATAGCAAGGTGCGATGCAACAACATTGCAGGCTGCTGTCTTAGGGTTAAGAAAAATGCAGCAGCAATACAAGCTGCCGTCTTAGGGTTTATAGTGCACGGACAGAACTTCCTAGATCGGAAGCTTTGATACCATCTGGAAAATTAAATTAAATAAAATCTTATTTTTGTATTTTAATATAAAGAGATCATACAAGATATATACAGGAGACTTAAGCTATTTTAAAAAATATAATAACTCTATTTTATTCTAAGATCTCTTGATTTATGGGATTGTTCCTAATTGATCAAATCTATTCAGATTACAAATTTTCTAATTTATTCTTTCCTAGAATACTATTTGATTTCTCACACTTTTATTTTTGGGCACATCTTTTGCACTCAAGTAGTTATTCCCGTATATTTATTTATTTATTTGTTCCAGGCTGTTCATGAATAAGTTCACGGTCTTTTATTATTGCTATTTAACTGTCATGCTTATATTAAATCCTATAACATCTTTTGCTCCTTTTTTAGTTAACTGTAAATCAATGTTATTGGGTGTGTATATACTTGTTTGTCTTACTGTGGTCATATCAATTTTGACTGCAGGAAAGAGAGTTAGCATTGAGGTCATTTAAAAGTGGCAACACCCCCATATTGGTTGCTACGGATGTTGCTGCACGCGGTCTTGATATTCCCCATGTTGCTCATGTGGTCAACTTTGACCTGCCAAATGATATTGATGATTATGTACACCGAATTGGAAGAACAGGGCGAGCTGGAAAGAAAGGCCTTGCAACTGCATTCTTTAATGATAACAATTCATCACTAGCAAGAGCTTTAGCAGATCTGATGCAAGAAGCAAATCAAGAAGTACCTGCTTGGCTCTCACGGTATGCTGCTCGATCTTTTGGTGGAGGGAGGAATCGTCGATCAGGTGGTCGGTTTGGTAGTCGTGACTTTCGAAGAGAGGGCTCCTTTAGTAGAGGTTCTTCAGATTACTACAGTTCAGGAAACAGCAGTGGTGGATATGGAGGCTCTGGTGGGTATTCTGGAGGGTATGGTCCTGGCGTCACTAGTGCTTGGGACTGACTTTCTTCTTTTCATAGCATTACATACCCACCATCTTAGATGTAGGTGCGGATACACACCTACAGGATGAATTTTCACCCCTCATGTTTTTATGGTCTTCAATTTACTTCCTTGTGTTTCAAGCCGTCATTTTGTACTATTTTACAGTGCTAATCATTGTGGGGGATATGGGTTTGTGTATGTGGTCGAGTTGCCACATCAATAAAGGTTGTGTAATGTTGGTAGGAATTGGTGATTTACTAACATATTAGGAGTTTCTGGTCGACAACTTTTTGACCCTTTCATTTTGGTGGGAGACTGGTTGTAGATTATGCATGGGGAGAAATCGAGCTTTTTGTTATGGCCTATCATGATTAACTGACTTATCTCTCAAGCATGCTCTTTCCAGTTTCAACCCAAGTTATGTTTAAATTTAAGATTTCCCCACTTTGATGGGCAAATGTTTTTGTAATATTATAGTGGTGGCTGAAATGAACGAAAATTCCCCCATGATTTCGATTGAACATACCTTGTATTTCTGGTGACTAGTATATTATTAACTTGTTCTTTATCTTTGTATCATGTATATCAAGTCTGATTTTAAGTAAATTTGAACAAGGGCTAGGATATCTTGTCACATTTTACAATGTAGCGTGTGGCACTCTATCAGAGAATGTCTACTCATGTTTTTCTCCTAATTAAATTTTCGTATGGATGCCGTATTTAAGTGCGTATCACCCATAACAAGTCAATAACATTAAAACGTGTGTTGGTGGTAATTTGTGGTATTACTTGGGCAAATTTTACCTTTACTGTCTCTTATTAAAGAAACTTGGTTCCTAACGGTTTCCCAATTTTGATCATTCATCCTCGATGATGCTCATAATATCTCTCTATAAATGCTATGAAAGAACCAAATATTAGTGATTCTTTTTCCTCGAGTTTGATATTGTCAATTATTATTAGAATATTGATTTTAGGTGGCCAACTATTTATTTGTATTTTCAAGGACAACATTTATGATAAAGTTGTATTAGTTTTGTCTTGTCTATTCAAGATAGCTTGAGGTCGTTAAAGAAGTGGACCGACCATGTATCCCCAGATTGATTATCAAGTCAATAATTCCGATTAATTGAGTGGAGAAAAATTACGTATAGAAGGGCCCCTATTTATGACGTGTGGATGTGATTAGTATACAAGATCTACAATAGTCAATAACTCTTCATAAATAAAAAGTTTTATTCTAATCTTTTCAAACTCGTGGACGCGTGAAAAAAAAAATATATATATATACACAGAATTCTATTCCTTTTTAATATGCATCACTTACAAGTAATTTCACGTACGTATTTGCTCTTATATTACAACTTGGAATCCTAATTCGGTGCTAATATTTGTAAACACTCTTACAAGCTTTTATTCCTCAAAGAAGCATATGGGTCTATTCTATATAACTTAGAATTTTTTTATTTTTTTTTACATCATTCCTTATTGTTTCTAGTCTAACGATCAAATGATTTTTTATAAACAATATAGTAGAAAAAAAAAATTAACGGATGGAACAGACACTTTATTTTCATTTAATCTAATAGTTAAATTATAATATTTTTGTAACCTATTAGATTTAAAAATATGATAGTTAAAAATGGAAGTTATTTTTGTTACCTGTTAGATTTCTTGCAAACCTATCAAAAAAGTTATGTGGAAATTCTACTATATGGTTCATACTAAATATAAGTATGGCTACATAATATCGCAACACAAAGAATATGGAAAAAGTATCACCTAAATTTTGAAATATATGAAAAAATTGTGGAGGAAATACATTTTCCCCTTAAAATTTCAGATGATTCTTGTTTGATTTCACGTAAAAAAGAACTTTTAAAACTTTACAAGCTCAGAAAATATGCTCTTTGTTTTGTAAGTGCTAAGATTCTAAAGGTTACGAAAGATGTTGTGAAGATAAGTTTTCAAAAATACTTTATATAAAATTTACAAAATAAAGATAATAATTTAAAATACTGGATAATCAATTATATGATTTTTCGATCTATTTGGTTCTATCAATAATTAATTAATCAGTTATTTATTTAGGATAATTTATTATTTTCTTGTGTTAAAAATCATAAATATCTATTAATTAATTAATATCTTGTAATAATCAATTACTTGCTTATGACATTAATTATACATAACAAAATTATCAATTAATTATGATTATTGATTATTTGTAAAAATATGATTTTCAACCAATTCCAAAGAAATAACATATTCAATTATATAACTCTAAAATGAATTAAATTGATCACCAATTATGAAATTATTCAATTTTAAATATTTTAAAAAAATTGCATTAACCAATGATCAATTAAACTTTCGAAAGCCATGAAAATATGTTAAATTGTTATTCTAGTGCATATATTGTTGTTTGAAATATAATCAAGATAATTTTGAACAAATCGTCAATCACGCTGAAGAAAAAATTTCTTCATCTGTTGAACAACTTAAAAAAAAATAATCCCTTGTTTTTTATTTCTAATTTTTTTTGTCACATATAATTATCTTTAGCAATATTATTTACTACAAAAAAAAATAATCATTTTTAGGAATCTTAATTATGAGGAATCATGAATTTCAAATATGATAAATGTAGTCTTGTTATTTATTTATTTTATTCAATTCCATCTTATTAATAATAAAATATTCGATTAAGTCCTTCAATTTAAAAAAAAAATTAATATTATAATCATTTTCAAGAATAAGCAATATAAAAATCTAACAAATATTTTCGATTTTAGTTTATGCATAATATAATTCATAATCAGTGAACAATGATACAAAGTCAAATCAACGTAAATCTCATTTTTGGATCTTAAAAAAAATAAGATCTTGATTAAATTTTGAGAGTTATACTGTTGCATTTATTAAATTGAAGGAATCAACTCAATTAATCATTATATTAATATAGTGACCAATTTAAACAAAAAATATATATAAAAAGTTAAATAATTAAAAAACATATATATCAAATTACCCAAAAGTAACTCCTCGTGTAACCTTTTTTATTCCAGTTTATTGAAAAAGTTGAGATATTTTTCGACTTATAAATTAAAAAATAAAATAAGAATTAGGGCTCTAAGCAACTCATTCTACATCCCTTTATACTATTAAAGATTTAAGTTACTCATTTTCACCCTTAATTTTCTATTTTAATTTTAAAACAAACTGATGTTACAATTTAATTGATTTGTTATTAAGTTAAAATACTATTTATATTTTTAGAAATTTATTTACTATAATTATAATTAGTTACAAACTTAATATATATTATGCCATTCAATACACAAATTAGAGTATTAGTTTATTTATTGTTAATATCATTATTTAAAATTTTATAAAATTGAATAGGGATAACAAGAATCAATTTGGGGGCAGCATATATGTTATTATGAACTTTATTAATAAAATCATAAACGTTTGAAGTGAAATATTAATCGAATCTCCCCTCAATCTGATTGAGAGTATTAATTTTAATTGAATCAACACCTTATTAATCGATATTGTGTAAGTTCGTAATTCTAATTAAAATTAAAAATTTAGATACTTTTATTGTTTTTCTTGATAATTAATGTATTTATTATATTTATATTCTTTATATTTTGTTTAATATTTTTAAAGTATATATGTTAATAACTTAATCCGAATTGAATAATATATTTTTTCTGAGATTAATTTGTTTGATTTTTTTTTCTTTCGAAATTCAATCTGAATGAAATTCATTAATTTTAAGAGTTCAATTAAATTACATTGATTATAGAAATTGAACGAAATGAATTAATTTAAGAGTTTAATTAAAATACATTGATTATAGAGATTAAATGAAATTAATAAATTTTAATACTTTAAATTAAACTACATCGATTAAACTACATCATAATATATATAAAAAATTAATCATAATTGTTATCAGATATACACATTAGTTTATACGTGGATAATTAAAAACTTAAGAGAATAATTTGTATTATTTAAAAATTAGATAAAATATTTTAATTATATTATGTGAAAATATTTATTATAATTATTATATAAAATTATATTTTATTTTTTATTTAAATATATTTTCTCTTTCTATAAATGTATTATTTAAAATAAAAACAATAATTTGAAAGCATATTAAGATGAAAAAGAAAGAATTAATGCTTCATTTAAAACTTTTTCTTTTGACAGCTAAAAACACAGTTACTTTGGAATGGAGAGAGTAATTTTTAATTGATGAACAGAATAACGTTCTTGATCGTATATATATATATATATATATATATATATATATATATATATATATATATATATATAAGTTAGAAAACAAAACTTTTAAATTTGAATTAATTCAAATACTTTTCCTCCCAAACTCAAGCATTGTATCAGCAATGGCAAACACCAAACTGGGAGTGAGTTAAATTAAAGAAAAGAAAATCTTAAAAGCTGAAATGTGTTAAAGAAAAAGACAAAAAAGGTGTTCTAAGGAGTCATGTGATAACCAATCTTCACAATCCCATAAAAGGATGATATTTCTGCAATCAACAAATGGAAAAAAAGAAAACCTCTCTCTCTCTCTCTCTCTCCTCTGCCTTCAAAGTTGAGTTGGTTTGACCCATGAACTGCAACACATTTATTAAAGAGGACCATCGTCACAAGCGATGTGTCCTCTTGGGACAGTTATACAATTTATATTAAATTCATACAACTCACTCAGTTTAACATTAAAATAAATAAAAAAACACATTGATTTTCCCAAATCCCCAAGATAGAAAAATCACACAATTTTTTGTGAAGCTAAGCTTGTTGTAGTTTCTCATTCTCAAGACAAAAGGTGAGAAAGAGGAGAGTGAGAGAAGGTGGTCGTCGCATCACCAATGACCCATTTCTTCCTTACAAACTCCAATGACCCATTTCTTTGTTTTTCATGTTGTTGCAGTTCCTGAGGTAAAGATACGAGCTTATCTCTTCTGCGCACTGGATCGGGTCTGGGAATTGAAGGTTTGGTTCAAAAGGGGTTGTGTTGATCTGCTCCGAGATGCTTAATTTGCGCTGAAAATTCCATTAATACGCGAGTCACGGCTTCGGAGATGAACCAGTTAGTTGAAAGCTCAACGAATGCTCAAAGGGTCTCTAGAGTTCAAGCTCCACTGGTAAGTCCATTTGACTACAACCTTTTTATTATCCAATTGGTGCTGTTGTTTTGAATCGGATAACTTTTTCTCCATTCTTTTAATTTCAGCTTTTTGTGTGGGTGTGTTGGTAAAAGGTTCAATTTGTCAGCTCTGTGCTTGAGAGTTTGGTTAACCGGAGTTTCTATCATTCTCTATTTGTGTTTGGAAGAGAGGCATAGAACTAAGTTGACTGTGTGTTGTAACTTCAGTCAATTGGATGGTCTATGAATCTCAGAGTTCTTAAATGGGAAGTGACTCTCTTTTATTTCTAGGGCTCTTATGTCTGACCAAGTCAAAATTAGATCTTAGAAGTTCTTGCTACCTCAATATACATTATATGTTGGCTTCCTAGATCCTAATTCCACCTAAGCACGATATGCTAGACTAAGAAATTGTACACAGCTTAACATTTATGGATTTGTCAAACTCCATCGTCCATACTCCGTATCTTTGACTGAGAATGCTACCATTTTTTGACATATACGAGGCTAACTGTTTAAGGGGGAAGCTCGATTCGAAGGTCTCATATCACTAGTTCATCAGAAGAAATGAACGCAAAACCTTTCTGTTGATACTATTTGGTTTTGCTAATTGCAAGTTGAACCTAGCTAGCTTTTTACATATGGAAAATCTGAACCTCCTTACTCCACACTCTTGACAGAGATTGTTACAATTTTTCATTGTGCTGAATTAGTAACTAGGATTGGTTTGAAGCTTAAGCATGAACTAGGAACCAAAATGAGAATTTAGGGCTCATTCCCTTTTTTATTAGGGTGGGGTGGGGTAGAATGAATTTTTTCATTTTCTTTTTTTCTTTGTTCCCCGTGATTATCCATTAAATGCCATCAAGTTACATGCACAAGACACAAATTAAATTCATAATTTATAAAACTTTTTCCTGATCATACTATTCTTTCAAGTTTATCTGCCCATCAATATCATATTCAGGCGTCCTTGTCATACTCTACTTTTGAAAATGATCAGTTACCACAACTCTCATAGAGTTCTGCTTATCTAATTTTTCCCTCCTCATTAGTTTTCTGAACTGTTTTATATTTTCTTTTTATTTTGGTTCTCTCATCTCTTCCCAGTAATATTAATTAATATTAGTACTTTCAGTGTATCTAAATTATGAGACTGATCCTCAGGGAAGATATCTGATATTCCCTTTTCTTTTATCTTAATTAAAAATTCAGCTGAGTTGGTATGTTCATCGACCTTGTTTAACCATTATTTCACTTTGTCACATCCTTTTATGATCCTTGGAAGGTACTGCTTCTCACTACCCTCCCTCATTCTGGAAGTGTAACTTACATGATATGTATAACAAATGCAGGGTGCAGTTACTGAAAGTTTTTCAATGATTTCATATTTTTAACCAGGGACTAATTATATCAGTGATTATTTCTATATATTCAAGTTCAAACTCCTGTTAGATATCTCTCTGATCATATCCTAATGCATCTTGTTTTCCCTCGTTTTCCCTTGAACAATTCTCTTACTTGTACTCTATGTGTACATATAACACCTTTATTTAAACCTCAAAGACAGAAATCAAGTTATTTATTTTATCTTGTTTTCTTTTTGCATGATACTCCGGGCATCATTTGCATGTATTTCAATTCCAATATACTGCATATCCATCCCTTATTTTTTATTTTAAAAGTTTAGGACTATTGGACTTAAGGGTTTAAATAGAAACATTTTAGCAAAAGCTGAAGTGTTATGACATTTGTTTATTGAGCCTAAGGAATGACAGTATTTGTCCAAAGACAAACACCATTTAAATTTTTTATGGCCAATGGCGGGTCCTGGACGGTCTTTCTTATAAGTTTGTGTAACCAGAGAACAATACAGTTCCACCAAAAAGAAACAGTGAACAGGGCATAGCATGTGGGTTGAGAGGATTTGGTTGGCTGAATGAAATGTAGAGAAAGCGATCTGTTTTCATTTACTTTTCTTGTCTCCTAACTTTATTAACAAGGCCCAATATTTCTACATTTTCAATCGGCTCGCCAAAGCGCTAATTAAGCTGAACATGTCTCACAGCCATCATCAATTTTTTTTTTTAATTTCAATGATGTTGAGATTTGGTAGAATGCGTATCTTCACAAAAGTGATATCTTCCAAACCACATTTCAGGGGTATGCATACATCTGTGCTACTAGGTACTGTGTTTGTACCATTTTAGAAACATGATTGTTGACCACAGTGCCTTCCTATCTTTCTGAATCTCAATGGGAGATTTTGCTCACCGATGCAAAATGTTACTAAGCTGTGTAGTTTTCCTCCCTTGCTCCTGCCCTGTTTCTGATATTCCCTTGACTCTTGGACAAGCTTGCCTCTCGTCACATCCATTGCATCACTCATGGGACTTGTATCAGTCTTCACTGAGATTTCTTCATGTAAATATTAATTGGGTGTATCTGTTTGTATGTAGTGTTACAACTTATTTTGTCCTCTAACTTCTACTAAAATTTGTTTAAAATCATGATTATGAACTCAAACTGTTAGTCTTCTTCACAAATCAAAGTTTGTGAAGGCAATTCCAGTTCATGTCTATATAGCCGCTCCTTTCTTTTATTAATTTCTATATCAATTATTAATAAAAGCTAATGTAACCTTGCTTGGTCTTATGATTGCACGATGCATGTGATGGGATGCCTTTCTGGGTTTTATGTCACCCTCACCACCTACATATTGAAAATTCCTTGGCTGCATTCATGTATAATAAAATTAAAACTTAATATGACTGTTCTATGAAAATAAATATTTTTAGCTTGATAAATAGATAGTTTGACAAGTCAAGAGATTGCTAAGTTAGCTTCCTTGTTTTTTTACTGAAGAAAACTGTACAAGAACCATTCAATTTAGGGACCATTGAACTGGGAAGAAGAAAATCTGTAATCTTACTGTCTGCTTGTGAATATGCTCTTGGTCATTAAGCATATACATATTTTTAGTGAAATCTTTTTCACATTTTCAACATACTAACATGGATAATTTCACAGGTTGACTCTGTTTCTTGCTACTGTAAAGTAGATTCAGGCCTGAAAACGGTTGCTGGGGCAAGGAAATTTGTTCCTGGATCAAAATTATGTATCCAACCTGACATAAACCCAAATGCACATAGGAGCAAAAACTCACGCAGAGAGAGGACAAGAGTTCAGCCTCCACTTCTTCCTGGTCTTCCTGATGATCTTGCTATTGCATGTTTGATTCGTGTACCTCGGATTGAGCATGGTAAACTGCGTTTGGTTTGCAAGAGATGGTATCGCCTCCTGTCTGGAAATTTCTTTTATTCACTCAGGAGAAGTCTTGGAATGGCTGAAGAATGGGTTTATGTCATTAAAAGAGATCGCGATGGAAGAATTTCATTGCATGCTTTTGATCCCATCTACCAACTGTGGCAATCTCTTCCTCCTGTTCCTGGGGAATATTCTGAAGCATTGGGATTTGGATGTGCAGTTCTCAGTGGTTGTCACCTGTACTTATTTGGTGGAAAAGATCCTCTGAAAGGATCTATGAGACGTGTTATTTTCTACAACGCTCGTACTAATAAGTGGCATAGAGCACCAGATATGCTGCGGAAACGTCATTTGTTTGGTTTTTGTGTAATAAATAACTGTCTCTATGTTGCTGGTGGGGAATGTGAAGGAATCCAAAGAACACTTCGATCTGCTGAAGTTTATGATCCCAACCGGAACAGGTGGAGCTTTATCTCAGATATGACCACAGCAATGGTGCCCTTTATTGGCGTTGTTCATAATGGCACATGGTTTTTGAAGGGACTTGGATCAAACCGCAATGTCATGTGCGAATCCTATTCACAGGAAACTGATACCTGGACCCCAGTGAGTAATGGAATGGTCAACGGTTGGCGTAATCCTAGTATCTCCGTGAATGGACAACTCTATGCACTTGATTGCCAAGATGGGTGCAAGCTCAAAGTATATGACAGAGCAACTGATTCTTGGAAGAAGTTCATCGATAGCAGGCTCCATCTTGGTAGTTCTCGAGCCCTTGACGCCGCTGCTCTTGTTCCCCTCAATGGAAAGCTTTGCATTATACGCAACAATATGAGCATCAGTCTTGTTGATGTTTCGAGTCCAAGCAGACGCGTGGAAAACAACCCTCACCTTTGGGAAAATATTGCTGGGAAAGGTCATGTCAGGTCTTTAGTTAGAAATTTATGGTCGACTATAGCAGGGCGTGGTAATTTGAAGACTCACATTGTTCATTGTCAAGTTCTTCAAGCCTGAGATCCAAACTCAAACTCCTCTGATGATATTCTTGGCTATACAGTTAGGGAAATTGTTGTTATTTTGGGAAAATCAAATTGAAACAGGTTTATCCACTTTCTTGTGTGGAAAGAGATTTGGCTTCATTGTAAAGATGAGGTTAATTGTTGATTTTGGCTATAGAATGAGGTCATTCCTTTACAATCATGAATAGGGAGCAGATATTGTAAATGTTGTTTCACTCTAAGGCTGTGACATTTCCTTTCTTTACAATATATTAGTTTTGTAAGACATGTTTTTCAGCTGTATATGATTTACTAGAAAACATCAAATAACGTTTGTGTCACTGGTCAAGTTGATTTAGTTTACTGACAGGGAGAACAGCATATCAGGTCCCATGTTGTGGTAAAAGCCATTCCAATGTATGGTTTGAAATTTAGTTGCTTGTTTTGGAAGAGTAATAGCACATGCTAGGATAAGATTTTTCCAAAAGCCAGCGTTAAAATCTTGTTGAGAGAGTTAGTTTCTTACAAAATAGAAAACATGATTCAAAATTCATACTGAGAGAGACGTCTATAATAGCAAAATTGTTTCTTATGGTACAAATTTGTGAAAGTGAATAGAAAGAGGCTGATACACAACTAGTCTTTTCTCTGAGAAACTGAACTTTTAGAACTCCAAAGAACTTTTCATCACTCAAAATTATATCCAACACTATTTGTATTGCTCTCAATTTTCAGGAACGATCACACTTGCTTTTGTGTGTGTAAGTGTGTGAAGTAACAATCACATATTATTTAGCCACTGCAGCAATTCCATTAATCTCAAATGATTCATGTGCCTCTGTTTATCATATCCTGAAAACGTTTGAACGAATTTTCTCTCTCAATCTTGAGCTGTTTGCGGAAGTTGTTGATGAATGTATCAGCCATTTTATTGATGTCTTCTTTCTCATTCTGCAGCACTATTTGTCTGCTCATCAATAACTTCTTATCTGAACTTTCGTTGTTGCTCCTCTTGCTGGTGAAGTTCTTTCCATAATCCATTATAGAAGACAGGGTAAAACTCTAACTCAGAGAGAGAGAGATAAAGAAAGAGATTTTGGTGTAGAATGACTTCATGGTTCCTGAAAGATCACTATTTATACTCTCAATCGCAGCATGTGTTTAGCATGGCCAGAAGCCTAAGAAAAAGCATAGAAAGTGGAGAAACTTGAAGTGATCGTTTTTGTGTTTGTCTTCACGTAAAAAGAAAAGTTGGGTGTGTCAGTGGCACCATTTTAATATTACTCAACTTGCCCAGGAATCCTACTTTTTGAGCCATTGTTAATTCAAGAAAACTTGACTTCAAATAAAATATTTCAATGAGAACATTTTTTATCACGATCGCTTCCATAAATCTAACCGTGTTCAATTCTTGGTCAAGATTTGAAACTATTTTATAATACTATGTCATCCTTACTCCTAAATCTTAAAGCACTAAGTTATATAAAATGCAATCACTTTTTACGCATTTTGCTATTTTTTTTAATGTATTTGCAGTTGAAATTACACCTTGTAATCAAAGGAGACAAAGATTTGTAGTCCAATTTGGTGTCCAAACACTGTAACTGGGGGTTACATCACATGGATTAATCACACAAAAAGTGAAGCCTTCTTTATTTCCTTCTTATGTATACTTTTTTTATCTATGTTTTCCAAAAAAAAAAAATCATTGTAAATTAAATAAAGTTTTATTATCAACCACAAACGTTTTAAAAAGTTTATATATTATAAGGATTAACGTGAACTTGGAATAAGATGATTTGAAGCCCAATTCAAATCGATCCTTAAAAAAATGGAGACTATTTTAAAAATTTAAATACAACTACATGAATATGATATCATAACTCACTTTTCACAATTTACTTCATATTTATTCATGGGTTAAATATATTTTTTGTCGTGAAAATTGATCTTGTTCTTTATATTTTAAAATTTATCAAATTAATCTTCAAATGTTAAAGTTAATACGAATTTAATATTGTAACCAATTTTAGGATAATAAAAAATATAATTAAACATTAAATATAAAGAATAATTAAAAACACTTTTTATCAATACTATTAAAATAAAAATCATAATTAAGTATTAAATTTATGTATAGATTTTTTTAAAATCATATATTTTTAAAAATTTTGAGGATCAAATTGATTAATTAAAAAAAATATAAGAATCAATAATAATTTTTTTATCACATACAGAAATATCAAGAACATAATTTTTTCTTTATTTATTTACTTATCTATAAGTACCTACTTGTAAAGAAATTAAAGTTTTTTTTAATACAGTGAAAAGAGCTAATAAAAATAATGCTAAAAAAAATCCTAAAGCTAGTCCGATGATGATCAGGACTGAGACACGACCCAAAATAAGAAGTGGGGAATTTTTTACAATGAACAAAAGCCTGACAGAACAATGTGTGAAGGTAAAGGCCTACAAGTAGGCATGGTAAAACGAACTACGCTCGACAGGCCGGTCCGTTATAATATAGCGGGATTAATTGGTGTTTTTAGCCTACCAAGCCCGCTAACCCATCGAGCTACTTGTGACCCATCTTATTAATAAAAATAAATTTTTATTGTAATATAATTAATATAAAGTTAAAAATTGTAAAAAAAATTAAAAAAAGTCTCACTTTTACTCATTAAGAAAACATTTTCCTTACTCAAACACAAACTCCTCTCCCCTCTTCTCTTGTTGTTCATCATCTCTTCTTTGTTCATTCTAAGCACTGATTGTTCTTATCTTTATAACTTGAATTAAAGGTGTAAAAATTACTCACAAGAGAACAATATGAAGTTTTATCAAATAAAAAAATATAAATATTTGAATTTTTTAATATAAAAAATATAAATTTTACAATTTTTGATGTTATTTGTATATATTTGTTATTATTTATTATTATATAAATTTTATTACTATTCTAAATTATAATTTCTTAAAACAATATGTTAATTTATATTATTAACTTGAAATATATATATATATATATATATATATATATATATATAATTAATTATTAACATACAAATGATAAACTTATTATTAAATTTATTAAAAATTTTAATTTAAAAAAATATTTTTTTTTAAATTATGACTGGACTGGTCAAGATCTACAACCCGTAATGATTATAACATATCAGCCCGCTTCACCCCATTTTTGGTGGGTCAAAGATAAGGAGGATCGACTTGTTTTGTCATCCATATCTATAGGTTATGAATTTTTTTCTCAAAGAAGAAATAATGACAATATCCAAAAAATAAGTATCAGCTAACTTTGTACCAGTAGCCGCGGTAAAACAGAGGATGCAAGCATTATCCAAAATGATTGGACATAAAACGTCTCGTAGGTGATTTTTTCGTCATGAAATCCCAAGACTCAACTCTAGACAGGTGTTGAAAACTACCAAACTAGAGTATAATAAGAATAGAGAAGATTTCAGGTGGAGCAACAAAATGCATAAAGATCGAAAAGAAAAGAATCTCTATCAATATGTCATCAACCTTTTTTTTTTTTTTTAAGCAAAGAAATGCATGTGAAGTTTATTTTATTATTATGAATTATGTGTAATTTATATTTTATGAAAAATGTTTATTTTAATATAATTAAAAATAAAAAATTATTTTTTAATACATAAATTATTTAAAATTCATGTAACATTCATCAATAACTTTTTTTTCTTCCTATACCTTACAAGACACCATTTTATTTATCATCTTATCACTTAAATAAATTATATTCTATATTTGTAGAGTTACTAATTATAATATATCAAAATTATATTTAAAGTAAAAAAAAATGTCTTTTCTTTTTGGATTCTAACACAAATTAAAACGAATATAAAATAATTAACTTTTAATTATACCTTGTTTTTACAAATATCGTTATTTTTAAGTCTTTTGATGTTTGACTGCAATACTGATAAATCCTTTGTCAGATCACTGCCAGTTTAACTAAAGATGCTCAGAATGTAAATATTTTTTTACGAAATTAACTGTTTTGGCACCGATGGTGGCAGATCCAACTCCAAAAGAGTGAGGAGTCATTAGTGGATAATATCATCTAACTTAACTACTTAACTCCTTATTTAGTAAAGAAAATCCGATTTACAACATCAACAGGTAAAGCATAGGCAGGATCTATCGGTTTCACTCCTGGATATTCAAGAAGTGAAAGTCCTGTAAAAGAAGAAAACAACATCAGCGTCCCTAGTTTATAATATAACAGGAATTAGAAACACATGAATAAAAGCAAAAACGTAGTCAGAATCGATAAATAAGGATGTCCCGTTAAGTTATCTGAACAGTATAATACAGAAGGGAAAAGTGAGAGACAGATGTAACAACTAAAATCAATCAATTCACACGTATATGCTCACTTAAACCTTCCAGACAACTAAAATAAAAATAACATCATACTAAATATCCCCTTCTACTGTAACATTAGCATAATAATAAGCATGTTGAACTAGTATGATTAATCTTATCTGAAACATGAAGCTAGCAACAGAAATTTACAGCAAATGAAGTCACTGGTCAATACCTTTCCCAAATTGGGTAATCTCAATGCATAAGAAAGGGAGAGCTGGTATTAACCAAGGCAACCCCAGATGACAAGATTTTAGAGCAACAAATGGAATGAAAAATAAAAAACAAAAAGATTAGAGGTACTCTACCTGCCACCCCGAAGAATGTATGAAATATATCCACGGCATCATCTGGCCTGTCTGAAATTCCACCATTTTCTGTGTCCTTACAGTTTCAACATTCAAATTATTTCAGAAATAATAAACTCACAATAGTTTATGCACATAAAACAAAGGACATCAAGATTTATCAAAACAGTCAAGACATTCAACTAACTAACCTGGCAGTCTATGATAAATTTTATAAGCTTCTCCTTACTGATCCAATGAACTCTATCAATCATGGTCAGGCTAGAAAGAACCCACCATGAGTAGCAGACCTGGGATGATCTAAAACCTAGTAAGTGAAATGAGCATCATCTAAAGCAATAAATATAAATTTGAAAGGATTTTCTCACATCAGGAAGTTTCTCAGGACGCCCATTCAGACCTCCAGATTTAACCTGCCGCTCACATAACCACCAACCCAGTAGGTCCTTGTCCACAAGATCTAGTGACCCCGTTATAGCAAGGGCTCCCACACAACAGAAAACTGACAATAGGTAAAGCAAATATTTTACAATTCTTTCATTACAAATTTAGAAAAAGAGAAATCAAAGAAACTAAGCCAAACATTTTCTGATTTATTGCACATTCGTTGAGTGAACGGCAAGTAAAAGTAAAAACAATGCATCAAATACTGCTACTAAAGATTTGACTCGACAATCATAAAATAGTTAATAAATTCAATCAATAATGTAAGCTTGATGTAGCACAAACTCATGTCTAACATGAGTAAATTTGGACCGCAAAAGATCAAAACGAAAGTACATAATTTCTGTAAGAAAACACTACCGAATTGTTGAATAATGTAAATACTAGTTTACATAAGTGTACTATTAGTTGAAATTTTTATACACACCTGTACTCTCTTTCTCAATAGACTTCTGTAGTAATTTAAAATACAGTAACTTGGTAGACCCAATATACTTTTATATTCCCATTCAGTGGGATTTTTTTTACTCTCTCTTTCGCTCATACTTTGTATTTGCTGTTAGTTACCACTTGTCAGGGAAGGAGATCCTAGTTGCTACTTTTTGTTAGTCAGTCCAATGATTTTGGACATCATACACAACCATTACTTCTTTCGTTGTGTTCGGTCCAGGGCTGTGTACAACTCTTAGATCTTGAGTCCCAAGGTCATCCTCATAGTCCTCCAATGAGTTAATCTAAGGATGCTTATCGATGCCTCATATGCCACTTCAAGCAGTCTACACAAACAATTTCTTCCAGTGAGCTGATCCTATCATACACTTTTATTTGGCCTCTCGAATTTGGCAAGTACTTCTACACAGATTCATTATTAAAATTTTTAAGTAATTTTTGCATCTTCAATATTTTCCTTTTCTGCAGTCCAAGATAAACTTTGTAGCATTTCCCCAAATAAACCCTACACCACATTTAACTTGTATACCACTGTTAGATATTGTTTAATATTATTAAGATATTATTAAATATTGTTAACCATAATATCAAATAATATGTTCTGTTTATTCTATTTACTTTCAGTTACTCTTTTAATTGTACTTCTCTCTATTATAATTAGATTACCCTATGTGTGGTCTATACACAAGAAAAATTAATCTCAAACCCTATTTCCTCTATATTCAACATGGTATAAGATCTTAAGGTTATTTTGAATTTTTTTTTTCCGCCTTTATCCACTATTGGTGCTGCCACTGCTGGTTAAATTGATCTTTCACATAAGAAAAAAGTTATGTTTGTTATTGGATATTATTTGGTAGTGTGAAAGTGCATGTCTAGGAATGTTCTGACAAAAAAAGATTTGGTATTTAAGCGTGTCAATTAGTGGCCCACCTCTCTTTTCTGGGAACTTACCTTGTGTGCTGGTTCACGCCGCTGTCACCGCCGCCGCCCCTTCATGAACCACTTCATCCCTTACCTCTAAGAGTTTTCAAGTCTACATGTTTTGTTCATAATTTTAGTTCTGGTCTTGACAAGCTTTCTCCTAGATCACATAAATGTGTTTTCTTAGGGTTTACAATATCACAAAAAAGATACAAATGTTTTTCTCCTTCTCTTAATCATTATTTTGTGTCTGCAGATGTCACATTTGATGAGTTCTCTCTTTATTTTAAAAGTCAATCTTCACCTCTGTCTCTATCCAATCCTGTCAATACTCCTAGTACATTTAATGTTCCTGTTGTTTGTGACCCTCTAACTATGTTTTCTTCACCATTAATTCCTACTTTGCAGTCAACTTCTTCTCCACCACCTCTTCAGGTTTATAGTCACCGAAACCAATCACAACCACCACCATGTGACTCCACTCAAGTGCCAACTACTCTGTCTCTTTCGGATCTAACACCTGAGTCTGACCTTTCCATTGCCCTCTGAAAAGGTATCCGTTCTATACATAATCCTTCTCCCCATTATATTGCTTTAAGTTATCATCGACTGTCATTACATTTTTATACATGTCTTTCCTCTATTTCTTTTGTGATCATTCCAAAAACTGTCCGTACAGCTTTAGCCCATCCTGGTTGGCGTCATGCCATGACAGATGAACTAAGTGCTCTTCATAATAGTGAAACTTAAGAATTGGTCCCGTTACCTTCTGGGAAATCTGTTGTTGGTTGCAAGTGGGTGTTTGCTATCAAAGTTGGACCTAATGATACTATTAATCGTCTCAAAGCTCGTCTTGTGGCCAAAAGTTATACACAAATTTTTGGATTTGATTATAGAGATACCTTTTCTCCCGTGGAAAATATGACTTTTGTTTATTTATTTATTGCCATAACTGCTCTTCAACAATGGTCTTTTTATCAACTGAATGTTAAAAATGTTTTCCTCAATGGTGATTTATAAGAAGAAATCTATATGGAACAACCTCTTGGGTTTGTTGCTCAGGGGAAGTCTTCTGGGATGATATGTCATCTTCGCAAATCCCTATATGACCTAAAACAGTCACCTAGGGCCTGATTTGGAAAGTTTAGCAAGGTTGTTCAACAATTTGGTATGACTCGATGTGAAGCAGATCATTTTATCTTTTATCGACACTTAAGTACTGGATGTGTTTACTTGATAATATATGTTGATGACATTGTTCTTACAGGTAGTGACAACCATAACATCTCTCAGTTGAAACATCTCTGTCACCATTTTCAGACCAAAAATCTTGGCAAACTTAGATATTTTTTAGGTATTGAGGTGGCATAGTCTAATGATAGTATTATTATATCTCAGAGGAAGTATGCCATAGATATTTTGGAGGAAACTGAGTTGATAAGTTCAAAGTCTATTGATACACCCATGAATCCCAATACTAAACTTCTACCAAATCAGGGGGAGCCTATATCTTATCCTGAACAGTATAGAAGATTGGTTGGAAAATTGAATTATCTTACAGTTACTAGTCCTGACATTTCCTTTACAGTCAATGTGGTAAGCCAATTTCTTAATTCCCCATGTGAAGATCATTGGAATGCAGTCATTAGTATCTTGAAGTATATTAAAGGATTTCCTGAAAAAGGATTATTATATGATTCTAATAACCATACAAGAGTTGTTTGCTACTCAGATGCTGATTGGGCAGGATCTCCTTCGGATAGAAGATCTACATCTGGATATTGTGTCTCCATTGGTGGTAACTTTATCTAAGAAACAGAGTGTTGTGGCAAGATCCAGTGCATAGGCATAATATAGAGCTATGACCTCAGCTGCTTGTGAACTTGTTTGACTCAAGCAATTGCTTAAAGAGTTACAATTTGGAAATGTCACTCAAATGACATTTGTGTGTGACAATCAAGCTGCTCTTCATATTAGCTCTAATCCTGTCTTTCATGAAAGGACCAAACACATTGAGATTGACCGTCATTTTATTCGAGAAAAGATTATGTCTGAAGACATCAAGACTGAGTTTGTTAACTAAAGTGATCAGTTAGTCTTTACGGGGGCCTAGAATTGATTATATTTGTAACAAGCTTGGTAGATACGATTTGTATGCTCTAGCTTGGGAGGAGTGTTAGATATTGTTTGATATTGTTAAGATATTGCTAGATATTGTTAACCACAATATCAAACAATATTTTCTGTTTATTCTATTTACTTTTAGTTACTCTTTTAGTTGTACCTCTCTCTATTATAAATAGATTACCGTATGTGTGGTTTATACACAAGGGAGATTATCTCAAACCCTATTTCCTTTATATTCAACAACCACAAAACAATTAAGTAATGAACCATGCAATAGCTAGGATAAACATAGAGTTCCAAATTCTGATAGTAGACCACCTAATGAAGCTATCCAAAGTAAGTACTTTTACAAACCTCGAAGAGGTTAAAGGATTGTCTGATAATGCTCATAAATCACAATTTTTAATTTATTAATCTGGAAAATATTAACTAAAAATAAGATGATGATGGATGAATTGATGAGTTTTAATTTAAATATGATATTTAACTTCGGTATGCCCCAATCCCAAGATTTAAACTACAAGAAAGTTACTCTCAATTAAGTAGTAATTTTAGCCCACTCTTATTGTGCTTCCTAGGATTAAACAGATTCTTCTACCCATAACTTCATAAACATATTCAAATTTCAAATTATGGCCTCCCAACATGAAGCATTCCTTTTCGTGTGGGGAAGAAGTAAAGAACACAATCTTTAAAGGGATTAATAGTATTAGTACATACATTGAGTAAACGACAGAGAAATTAATAATTTAAGTAATGACCATGGATAATATATTGACATACTTTGACCAGCATGAGATTCCCCACCAGGAGTGCAACCAAAACCACCATCCATATTTTTGCAACTTATAATGTACTTCACAGCTTTCTCCACATTGATTTTATCCAAGCGGTGTAATATTGATAAACAACAAATAGCAATGTATGAGAACCTAGGAACAATTCAGTGGATTTTAGTTAAAAATATAGTAAGCTCTTACATGCTCAATAATAAAAAAGGAACTTAAGAAAAATACCGTGTATCAACTTCACCCCACATATCCCCTGAAAAGGATCCATCTTCATTTTGCAGGTTGACAATATCTGACATAGATATTAAGAAACAAAGATCCAGTATACTTGTAGTTTATTAAATTTCACTGTTGTAATTTTTGTAACTACCCATCAAACTCCACTAAAAATCACGACAAAATCTTTTCATTGATCTCTCTAAAAAGCACCAGCAAAGTACGATAGCCAACTAGAACTACATAATCCTGATAAAAAACAGAAATATAATATTTAAAAAAATTGCAAAAAGAACAAAGTTTCTTCTGTATCACAAAATATTTGTGAATACAGATTATAGGACCTTCAAAGCCAGTAAATATCAGTTTAAGGATACAATTTGTCACCTTATCTACATCAATAACATCCATCTTATCAAAGAGAGCCAACACCTGCACGGCACTTAGTGTATAGAGGATGTGCGGATCATGTCCAACATTTCCACCAAATCCCCCTTCACAACAACACAATCTCATAAGAATTATCCACAACACTGATGCCTAAAATAATTCCAACTCACAAAATAAGGAACAAATAAAACATTCAACAACCTGACTCATGCTGACAACTTAGCAACCATGAAATAGCCTCATCAACATCAACAGTATCAAGCTTTCCCAGAAGATCGAGAGCAGTCAATCCCCAGTATGCCCCACTCATTCTTAGATGCTCCATTACCACAGATTCAAAGTTATCTTTCCTCTGGAAAGCAGAAAAAGAATGTGTAAAAGGAAAAATGAAGATATCCAACCTTTTAAGCATAAAATAAGAGTTTACAATTCATGTATGTTTCGTGATAATCAACTCAAGATAGTTTCTTCTTCTTTTTAGAACGAATGTATAAACAGGAAGCAAACCTTTTCAACTGATAATATGTAGCGAACATGTTTCTCAGTTGCCAGCTCTCCCATCTATGCCAACAACAATAGAATATTAGAATCGAATATTTAAAAAGCCTACCCAACCCCCCTATTGGTTTATTCGTTTTTAAGAGAATGGAACGGAAATGGTTTGACACCTACATAAGCTATGAAATAATTAACACCATAACTGCTAAGAAATTATTATGTTATGTGCACAAGGACATCCATAATACAATTACTGATTCACTTTGCGATTCCAAAATATTTAATTTGTGGTCACTCATCTATATTTGATATTTCAACAAAAATACGTGGTAAATCATATGTTAAGAGGTAAAGTTTCTTCTCCACGAAATAAGGATTAATTGGAGGAACATCAAATCTACAATTCCTCAGCACAATTGCATACTACAATTCACTACAGTAACCAGACTTCATCTTATTCACATATATTTATACACCATCAAGTTGTACAAAATGTACCAATCAAAGATCCCTAAATCCTGCGAAACTACTTCACACAGTATATAAGTCAATCAAATTTCAGTTTCTACTACGTGCCAGCCGATTCATTTTAACAGAATATATAAAATTTTGCAGTGCATCCTTCTCAGCTAGCTAGACACGGTGAAGAGAACGGAAGGAAGCAACTCAATCGATTTCAGTTCAACAAAGCAATGAAATTCATTCCAGCAATTTTAACTCACATAAATCAACAACAATAATAACAATAATCAATGTAAAATTACGAGGCTCCGTGATCAAATTGCTCCCTCGTGGTTCCTGCTCACACTCCGGCGATAGCAGCAATGTATGCGTTGCTGGTGTTTCTTCTGATCTTTTTTTTGCTTTTAATTAATTATATATTTAGTTTTCATTTTCTCACTGTTTGAGAATTGTGAAATTTTGGTGTCTCTTGTCTCCACAAGAGTTTTCAGAGTTTTTTTTTTTTTTTTTTCCTTTTATTATTCAAAATAAAAACTTTTTTTTTTTACTTTCTAGACATTTATTAAGAAAACTTCTAAAAAACAAGTTATTTCAGAATTTGAATAATGTATGATTATATCTTTAAATATATATATATATATATATATATATATATATATATATATATATGACATACTTATATTATTTTATAAATATGGTTTTGTATACTTTTTAATATATATAAAAACATTAATTAGTTTTAAATCGCTCATATTTTCTAAGCAATCCTTCCTTTTAAGTTTTTATTACTAATTCTAGTTAGATTAAATAACAATTAATACAATTAAATAATAAAGAATATTTTAAATTAAGTAATATGTCTATTATTAAACATAAATAAATAGTTATAATATATATATATATATATATATTATTTTTTATATTTTCATCAATAATTATTGTTTACACTGTATTTTTATTAAAATAATTATTTTTTTAGAAATTATAATAATTATATATATATATATATATATATATATTAGTTTTGATATTATAATATTAATCATTATAAATACTTTTTAATGACATACATAGAAATTTTTAACTTTAAATTTAAACATAAAATAGAAAAATATGTTTTATATTTTTACAATTAATAATTACAATATATTAAAACTATATACAATTTAAAAACAATATTACTGTTTTTCTTTTGTTCTTAAATAATTTAAAATATTTATAAAATAGATGACTATGATATGCTTTAAATCAATGTAAAATTATTCTGTCTCATTTTAGTTTTTTTTTAAATTCTTTTGTTATATTTAAGTTTGTGATATTTTATTAGTATTTTTTTAATATCAGATACAATTATTTTATTACAAAAAAAATAATATAAAATAAAATAAATGAATTTTAAGTGAATAATTCAACTAAAAATATATTTAATATTTTGTAAATAAAGATAATCATATATATGTTATGAAAAAATATATTATTTAATTAATAATTTATTTTATATTTATGAAATATTATTTAAATAGAAGTAGTACCTATCATTTTATTTTATAATTACATATTATTCATTTTATACTTAAAGAATGATTAGTGGTAAGATATATAATGAATAAAATTATTATAAATTAGCTTTAAATGGTGTAAAGAGAAAATAAAGATTAATTATTTTTTATATAATTTAAATATATTATACGACTAATGAAAATAATAGTACAATTCTACGACTAATTATATCTTATGCAAGATCTAACTTTTTGCAACTAATTTGTCTTCAGAATTGGGAATCTCTTTCTAAATGAAAAACCAGCTATTTAATATTTTAATTTTTGCTTCTTGGGAGGTTTACTATGACAACTTACAACATACATACCACAAGTCTTCATCCAATTAAGACAAAGTAAAATTTATAGTCTAGAGTTTGTCATAGTATAATTTTCTTGTATATAAAATTATTAAGATATATGTAAAAGAATATTTTCCTCAATTGATCTCATTCATTGACTTGGAATAAATATAAGGTATAAGTCGTAATATTAAGAAACTAATTAAGTAACTAATAATATTAGACATATATTTGGTAAACTAATTATAAACTAAATATATGGTTACCTAAAATACAATAACAAAATATATTTATATATATATATATATATATATATATATTAATACCCCATGAGTCAAAGCAAGAGGACGACGGACACTGAGGTTGTCCCTAAAATCATCAAACAACACATGCGGAAGTCCCTTAATAAAGATGTACATGATCTGATATCGTGAAAAAATATGAAGAACTCGAACTAACCACATGCAACATTTTCCCGTACAAAATGTATGTCCATCTTAATATGTTTAGTATGTTAATGTTGCACCGAGTTACCTGACAAATAGATAGTACTAATATTGTCATAATACACCAAAGTAGTCTTGGTAACCGGACAATGCAATTCCAATAACAAATTTTAAACCTAACACGACTCAGAAACCACATTAGCAACACCTTTATACTCAGCCTCTGCACTAGACTGAGAAAGTGTAGATTGACGCTTGGAGGACCATGACACCAAGTTATCACCCAAAAACACATAATAACCCGAGGTAGAACGTCTCGTATTAGGGCACCCACCCCAATCAGCATTTGTATAAGAAATAAGAGATGTGATCAAAGATGAATTGAGATGAAGATGAAGATCAAGTGTACCATGTAAATACCAGATAACACGTTTGAGAGCTTGCATATGATCCACCATCGGATCGTGCATATATAAGAACACATGTTGCACCATATAAGAGATATCTGGCCTGATGAAAGTGAGATATCGTAGAGCCCCAACAAGACTCCTATAAAGAGTGTGATCTGATAAGGTGCGCTAGAAGTAGTACCCACCTTATCGTTGGTGTCAACCGGTGTTGGAGATGACTTGCAGAAAGAAATATCGGCCCAGTCAATAATTGCTTCGGTATATTTGTGCTGTGAAAGGAACATACCACCCTTATGCCGGGTCACTGCAATGCCAAGAGAATAGTTTCAAAGGACTAAGATCCGTCATAGCAAATTTCGAACTCAAAAGGTTCATAATATATAATCGGAAAGCATAAGACGAGGCAGTAAGAATAATGTCATCAACATAGAGCAAAATGTAAGTCATGTACGAACCCTTTCGATAAATAAATAATGAGTGGTCACATTTACTATTTGAGAAACCAAGAGACACGACATAATCACTAAACCACTTATACCAAGCATGGGGTGTTTGTTTAAGCCCATATAATGACTTATGCAAACGACACACATAATCCGGATGAGTACGATCACGATACCCAATGGTTGATGCATATAAACTTTTTCTTGTAGCTCACCATGAAGAAAAACATTTTTGACATCCAACTGATGTATGAGTCATGCCTTTGAAAGAGAAATAGATAGAACGGTGTGAATCATAGCCGATTTTACTACCGAGCTAAAAGATTCGCCACAATCAATGTCAACTTGCTGAGTTTTCCCATTACCTACAAGAAGAACTTTGTGCCTCTCAAACACATTGTTAAATTTCTCTTTATGAGTAAAAATCCACATAGACCAAATAACATTAACATTAGGTGGACGGGGAACCACCTCTCACGTCTTATTTTTAATAATAACATCATATTCATCATCCATGACCATTTTCCAATTGGGATCACGAAGAGTCACAACTGGTTATGAGGTAATGGAGACCAAATAACGGAAGTAGCTGAGCCATATTCATCATCATATTTATTGTTTGGCTTAAAAATGCCCATTTGACTTCTTGTGACCATACAAGGCGGTGGGATGGGAATAAGAGGGAAATGTATAGTTTGGTCTGCTGGTGTGGAGATAGGAGAAAAGGATAGGCTAAGGGAAGGAGAGGTTGGTGGTGTTGAAAGGAAGCGTGGGCTGGCGATGTTTGGGCTCATGAGATTTGGGCTAGTAGGGGGGTGGGTTTGTGTTTCAGGGTGGTCTGTGTGAGGAGCAGACACATCTGGAGATTGATTGTGATGGTGATGCATTGTATAGGTACTCATATCATCACACAAGAAATCATAAGCAGTAGAAGGGGAATGCAATTTCTGAAATGGAAAAACATGTTTATCAAATAAGACGTGACGAAAAATTATAATTTTACTAGAAGATAAATAATAACACTTGTAGTCACGATGATGCGAAAGGTAACCCAAAAACATACATGAGGTAGATCAAGGTTGTAATTTATTGATTGCGGTAGATTGCCCATTCTGAGAGGCCATGTAAGCCTGTTGTGGGCATGACCCAAGAACGTCAGATTGTTGTTACTGTCTCTGTGGTGCTGGACCCCGTGCCCACCTCTGGTTTGGTTATGGGTATGGAAGAGCTCATTGAGGCATCCAACCCCAGGGTGGATAATTTGACCAAGGTAAAGACCCCACTGTGACTGTTGTTGTGGACTCCTAAACTGCTGCGAACCACCACTACCGACCCTATATGACCAAATTTGCCACCGTCAGACCCGCGACCAACGCCACCGGATTTTTTTTCCAAAATTCTTGTGATATCCAGACAGCTTCCCACTGTGGTGTAGCTGGTCCGAATGTGAGGAATTTGAGTCATAAACGGATTGGGAGGCAGCCATCATTGCTGACTCCAATCCCGTGGTAGCCTCCTTTGCCAATCTGACTTCTTCAAGTGTGAGCATCGATCGAGCCTAATAAAACGGAGGTAGGGGATCACTCTGCCGCATTAACATCCCTACACCGGGATATGCACTTGTGAGACCCGAAGCAAGTTGAATGACGAGGCAGTTCTTCGACACCGGTGCTCCAACATTTTTCAACTGATCAGCAAGGGACTTGAGACGTTGACAATATGCCGAAACATTCGGAAAATTCTCCATCTTAGTAGTGGAGAATTCGACCTCAAGAGTTACCACACGGGAATGTTTGTTGTCTTGGAAAATATCTCTCAATCTATTCCAAGCATCCATGGTCGTAACATTGGGTTCAATGTATGCAACAGGTCATTGGAGATAGTTGCATAAAGCCAGAAAAGAACCTTAGCATCACGAATCAACCATAATTCCTTTTCATCCTTAGTCACAGGTACCTTCTCTTTGTCATTGACAAGAGGAATAATGTGATGAAGGACCTTACAAGAAAGTGCGGTAATTTTAAAAAGTTCCGCTCATGTAGAGTATTGGACATTCTCCATTTCAAGAGTGATGGAAATATGGTTCCGTATATTGGAAACCGCAAGAACCGGATGGAAAGAACTCTTGTTGTCCATCATGACGATGAGGAGAAGAAGAAAAAAAAAAATAGATGAAGGGGAACGAAGAATAAGAAGCGTAATTGCCCTAAAAATCTGATACCATTAAAAGAATATTTTTCTTAATTGATCTCATTCACTGACTTGGAATAAATATAATATACAAGCTGTAATCTTAGGAAATTAATTAGGCAACTAATAATATAAGATATATATTTAAGAAACTAATTATAAACTAAATATATGTTTACCTAAAATACAATAACAAAGTATATTTTATGTATATATTAACAAAAACATCATTTGGTATCGTATAATATTTGAGGTCATACATATTTTTTGAGTTCATAGAAACGAAATCATTCTTAGCTTGGAATTTAACCTTATCTCCCAAGGACTGTACTATTGACAATGGTACCAACAAGAGGAGCAGTAGTAAAAGTTGAGATAGGAAGAAGAAGCTATTGACAAGCAGACAAATAGTATCCGAGAATGAGAAAGACATCTACAAAATGGCTGATGCATTCATCAACAACTTCCGCAAACAGTTGAAGATTGAGAGAGAAAATTCGTTCAAACTTTTTCATGATATGATAAACAGAGGTTCATGAATGATTTGAGCACAATGGAATTGCAGCAGTAGCTAAATAATAGTGGTTTTGTAACCATTTCATACAATGCACACATAAAATGTACTATAGCTTCTCTTAATGTAGCAATTTTAGTATACAATTGAAGATACAAAACTCCCTCCAAAGGGAAAATACAATTGCATAACAAATAATGCAGTCCAATCAAATTTCATGGCAAACTTGTAGATACCATTTTGTCTTGAATCAAACCTGTATTTTACACCTCTTCAAGGCATTTTCTATTCTGACATTATCCTTAGACCAGAACCTGCAAGTGATGGTATACTCTGTTCATATCTGAAAAAATTGCTTGGATCTACCTTTGTCTTTACCTCTACCAGTCTATCAAAGTTTCTTTTGAAATACTTCTCACCCCATACCCTAGCGTCTTCATAAGTAGCATTTCCAGGCCCATTAACACCTATATCAACATCTCTATAGTTCAGATATGAACTTCTAGGTGACTTTGACACATAAGGCGTCATATAATCATAGAGACCCCGAATCAGATCCAAATATCTATTAGCAACATCTTCACCCTCCTCTTTCCAATTCACTGAGTACTGAATTTTGTATAAGTTACCAGCTCTATGTGGAAACGGTGTTTCCATCTCAGAAATTTCACCCATTCTCCCACCATAGGGGTTGAGTGCGAGAACAGGTTTTTCTAGCTCCATCATTTTATTCCATATACCTTCAAGGCCAAATTTGGAAATAGGTTGCTGCACATAATCTGATTTTCTCTTCAAGAATTTCTCAGTTGTACCATGCCTTTGAAGCAGAACTTCAACCGAAGTCCCCACCGGAAAGTTGTCCCAAAACAACACCGAATCGATCCAACTCATTTCAATGCAGTCTTCACCAACCAAACCCAATTCAGGGAAGCTATCACTCATCACACGAAGCAACTCTCGTGCATTTCCAAGAAACAGGGCATTGAACTTGGCTCTTATTGTCTTCTGACCCTTCCTTTTGACAGAACTAAGAACCACTCTAATAAACAAACCATGATGGATGTTATCAGCAACATACTGCCATCGATGAACAACATCAGTGGCACCCTGTTCCAATGTTTTTTCAACTCTAAAAACTGTGACAACCTCAGGCACGGGAACCAGCTTGATTTTCCACGACACAATGACCCCAAAGCTAGCACCCCCACCTCCTCTAATCCCCCAGAAAAGATCTTCCCCCATTTGCTCCCTGTCTAAGACTCTCCCTTCAGCATCCACAATCACAGCATCCAAAACATGATCCACAGAAAGACCAAACCTTCTCATCATGTTTCCATACCCTCCTCCACTGAAGTGCCCTGCAACACCAACACTGTGACACACACCAGCTGGGAAACCATGCACCTTGCTCCTCTCAGCAACCCCATGATAAAGTTCACCAACCGTTGACCCAGAGTCCACCCACACAGTCTCATCCTCCATGTTGACCTCCACTGATCTCATCATGAACATGTCCATGATCACAAACGGGGACTGTGACACGTAAGAAAGGCCATCATAGTCATGGCCCCCACTTCTTATTCTGATCTGAAGTTGGAACCTTTTGCAGCATATGATGGAGGCTTGGATGTGGGAGATGTGAGTTGGGGTTACGATGAACAATGGTTTATGAGTAGTGGGAGCAGTGAATCTGAGATTTCTAATGTAGGAGTTCAAGATAGAAGGGTAGGACGGGTTGTTGGAAAAATAGGTGACGGTGTAGATTGGATAAGAAGGATCAGAATGAAGAGAGAGACATTGCAGAATGGTGTCTCAGGAGGATCTGACATTAGAAGAAAGATTGAGAGAAAAGATAGAATCGCATTAGCATTAACTGACATCTTCTACTGTCTATACCACAAAAGTTAGTTCTGCTTATATTTATATTTCCACCGATTTTAAAAATATAATATAAAATTAGAATGAATATTTTGAAATGCATTTTAAAATACATATTCACTAATTTTAAATTTATAGAATAAGTGAACTCATGCAACATTTTCACTCAATAGTAACAAACATTATTTGAATACAGTTGATTGTCACAATCATTTTAATGTTTCATTTTTCTTTTCTATATGAATTTTTAAATTATGGTAAAATTACTTATTTTCTAATATGTCATAAATAAGACTTTTATCTCTGAAAAAAAAAAACAAAACATGTTGTATATCTTTAGAATTATTAACTATAATATATTTAAATTATATAAAAAATAATTAATCTTTATTTTCTCTTTACACCATTTAAAGCTAATTTATAATAATTTTATTCATAATATATCTTACCACTAATCATTCTTTAAGTATAAAATGAATAATATGTAATTATAAAATAAAATGATAGGTACTACTTCTATTTAAATAATATTTCATAAATATAAAATAAATTATTAATTAAATAATATATTTTTTCATAACATATATATGATTATCTTTATTTACAAAATATTAAATATATTTTTAGTTGAATTATTCACTTAAAATTCATTTATTTTATTTAATATTATTTTTTTGTAATAAAATAATTGTATCTGATATTAAAAAAAATACTAATAAAATATCACAAACTTAAATATAACAAAAGAATTAAAAAAAAACTAAAATGAGACAGAATAATTTTACATTGATTTAAAGCATATCATAGTCATCTATTTTATAAATATTTTAAATTATTTAAGAACAAAAGAAAAACCGTAATATTGTTTTTAAATTGTATATAGTTTTAATATATTGTAATTATTAATTGTAAAAATATAAAACATATTTTTCTATTTTATGTTTAAATTTAAAGTTAAAAATTTCTATGTATGTCATTAAAAAGTATTTATAATGATTAATATTATAATATCAAAACTAATATATATATATATATATATATATATATATATATATAATTATTATAATTTCTAAAAAAATAATTATTTTAATAAAAATACAATGTAAACAATAATTATTGATGAAAATGTAAAAAATAATATATATATATATATTATAACTATTTATTTATGTTTAATAATAGACATATTACTTAATTTAAAATATTCTTTATTATTTAATTGTATTAATTGTTATTTAATCTAACTAGAATTAGTAATAAAAACTTAAAAGGAAGGATTGCTTAGAAAATATGAGCGATTTAAAACTAATTAATGTTTTTATATATATTAAAAAGTATACAAAACCATATTTATAAAATAATATAAGTATGTCATATGCATATATATATATATATATATATATATATATATATATATAATTTAAAGATATAATCATACATTATTCAAATTCTGAAATAACTTGTTTTTTAGAAGTTTTCTTAATAAATGTCTAGAAAGTAAAAAAAAGAAAAAGTTTTTATTTTGAATAATAAAAGGAAAAAAAAAACAAGAACTCTGAAAACTCTTGTGGAGACAAGATACACCAAAATTTCACAATTCTCAAACAGTGAGAAAATGAAAACTAAATATATAATTAATTAAAAGCAAAAAAAAAGATAAGAAGAAACACCAGCAACGCATACATTGCCGCTATCGCCGGAGTGTGAGCAGGAACCACGAGGGAGCAATTTGATCACGGAGCCTCGTAATTTTACATTGATTATTGTTATTATTGTTGTTGCTTTATGTGAGTTAAAATTGTTGGAATGAATTTCATTGATTTGTTGAACTGAAATCGATTGAGTTGCTTCCTTCCGTTCTCTTCACCGTGTTTAGCTAGCTGAGAAGGATGCACTGCAAAATTTTATATATTCTGTTAAAATGAATCGGCTGGCACGTAGTTGAAACTGAAATTTGATTGACTTATATACTGTGTGAAGTAGTTTCGCTAGATTTAGGGATCTTTGATTGGTACATTTTGTACAACTTGGTGGTGTATAAATATATGTGAATAAGATGGAGTCTGGTTACTGTAGTGAATTGTAGTATGCAATTGTGCTGAGGAATTGTAGATTTGATGTTCCTCCAATTAATCCTTTGACTAATTCGTACTGATTCATTTCGTGGAGAAGAAACTTTACCTCTTTAACATATGATTTATCACATATTTTTGTTGAAATATCAAATGTAGACGAGTGACCACAAATTAAATATTTTGGAATCGCAAAGTGAATCAGTAATTGTATTATGGATGTCCTTGTGCACATAACATAATAATTTCTTAGCAGTTATGGTGTTTATTATTTCATAGCTTATGTAGGTGTCAAACCATTTCCGTTCCATTCTCTTAAAAACGAATAAACCAATAGGGGGGGGGGGGGGGGTTGGGTAGGCTTTTTAAATATTCGATTCTAATATTGTTGTTGGCATAGATGGGAGAGCTGGCAACTGAGAAACATGTTCGCTACATATTATTAGTTGGGGATTGACTGCTCTCGATCTTCTGGGAAAGCTTGATACTGTTGATGTTGATGAGGCTATTTCATGGTTGCTAAGTTGTCAACATGAGTCAGGTTGTTGAATGTTTTATTTGTTCCTTATTTTGTGAGTTGGAATTATTTTAGGCATCAGTGTTGTGGATAATTCTTATGAGATTGTGTTGTTGTGAAGGGGGATTTGGTGGAAATGTTGGACATGATCCGCACATCCTCTATACACTAAGTGTCGTGCAGGTGTTGGCTCTCTTTGATAAGATGGATGTTATTGATGTAGATAAGGTGACAAATTGTATCCTTAAACTGATATTTACTGGCTTTGAAGGTCCTATAATCTGTATTCACAAATATTTTGTGATACAGAAGAAACTTTGTTCTTTTTGCAATTTTTTTAAATATTATATTTCTGTTTTTTATCAGGATTATGTAGCTTTAGTTGGCTACCGTACTTTGCTGGTGCTTTTTAGAGAGATCAATGAAAAGATTTGGTCGTGATTTTTAGTAGAGTTTGATGGGTAGTTACTAAAATTACAACAGTGAAATTTAATAAACTACAAGTATACTGGATCTTTGTTTCTTAATATCTATGTCAGATATTGTCAACCTGCAAAATGAAGATGGATCCTTTTCAGGGGATATGTGGGGTGAAGTTGATACACGGTATTTTTCTTAAGTTCCTTTTTATTATTGAGCATGTAAGAGCTTACTATATTTTTAACTAAAATCACCTGAATTGTTCCTAGGTTCTCATACATTGCTATTTGTTGTTTATCAATATTACACCGCTTGGATAAAATCAATGTGGAGAAAGCTGTGAAGTACATTATAAGTTGCAAAAATATGGATGGTGGTTTTGGTTGCACTCCTGGTGGGGAATCTCATGCTAGTCAAAGTATGTCAATATATTATCCATGGTCATTACTTAAATTATTAATTTCTCTGTCGTTTACTCAATGTATGTACTAATACTATTAATCCCTTTAAAGATTGTGTTCTTTACTTCTTTCCCACACGAAAAGGAATGCTTCATGTTGGGAGGCCATAATTTGAAATTTGAATATGTTTATGAAGTTATGGGTAGAAGAATCTGTTTAATCCTAGGAAGCACAATAAGAGTGGGCTAAAATTACTACTTAATTGACAGTAATTTTCTTGTAGTTTAAATCACCTTCACCAAGAGTCATGGTATCAAGGGACGAGGGGGAAGCATCTGAAGTAGGGGATTCACCATGTTCTTAGAAAATGGGACTATCTGTCTGGGGGTTATGAATAGGTGGAGATGATGGCTCAGGAGGACTTTGATCAAGACTTTGACCAGGATTGACAGAGACATTAGAAAGATTGTACCCAACCACTGGAATAGGTAGACCCTGCTGTATGACATGAACATCTTGAACAAATGGAGAGAAGTAAGGGGTTTGTTCAAAGAACGTGACATTGGCAGACACGTAATATTTCTTCGTTTCAGGAGAGTAACAACGATACCCTTTCTGAAGACGAGAATAACCCAAGAAGACACATTTGAGAGAGCGAGCAGAAAGCTTGTCTAACCCTGGAGACATGTCATAAACAAAACATACACAACCAAAAACACAAGGAGAAATGTGGAAAAGAGGATTATCTGGAAACAGAATGGAGAAAGGGACCTTATGATTGAGAGAGGATGATGGCATCCGATTAATAAGAAAACATGCAGTTAAGAAAACATACAGTTAAGATTCCAACATAAAACCAATTAGCAATATGTGGAGTAGCCTAATATATATTTAAACCATACCAAAATGACATGACGCAGGCGATGTGAGACTTTCAACACGCCCCCTCCAACGAAACCTGCCGGACCAGACAAAAGGTACTTTTGACCCATAACGAAAGGGCAACTCTTGGCCCAAGACAATAACCGAAAATATGTTAGGCTTTAACTCTAATACCATATTAAGATTCCAACATAAAACCAATTGGCAATATGTGGAGTAGCTTAACATGTATTTAAACCATATCAAATGACATGACGCAGGCGATGTGGGACTTTCAACATATAGTATAAATTTGGTTTTTCAAGATTGGGCTTTTAAAATACATCTTCGTGCTCCATGTTTACTTACCTTCTTCTTATACACCTAGTCTCTATTTCTGCACACATTCTCACCGTTTTTGCACACAACGCAGCCTCCATTTTTGCACACAGCCTTTCTGTTCCACTGTTTCTGCACACAGTTTCTTCTTCTCCATGGAACCTCTCTTCTCTGCAAGCCTCACACATTATCCTCTTCTCCCTTGTCTGTTTTTCTTCTTTTCATCCTTCTTACCCTTCTCAATATATAGTTAGTTTGTTCCAATCAGAATGTGTGTCCCTTCATTCCAATCGCCCTTTTTCATTTTTATGTGTATGTCACTTTGTTTCACTTAGTTGTCGCTTTGTTTTTGTTTACTAAACGCACACATTCTAGAATTGTGCATGACAAAGTTGAATCACAAATCACACAATTCAATTCCGATTCAAGTTATCAAACAATACATTCAATAGATTGTATCGTAAAGTTTTTAAACTAGTCATGATTTGAACTGTGCAATTCTAACTACCATGAATCTATGTAATCAAGTCATTGCAAATTTAATAGACAAATGTTAAATATAAAACCAACTATCATAAAAAAATACCTTCCCTCCAATACGAAAAAGCTCAGCGAGATCATGGAATTGCCCATGAATATCACCACAAATTGTAACAGGACTTTTCACAGGCTGCAATTATAGGCAAATGAAATAATCTTTTTAGTTTATTCAGTCCATCAAAATCATCACGAGTTAAAGCCCTACCAATAAAACTTGTAAGACAAAGTAAAAGCCACATAAAGGGTGGTTAATAAGACCTTAACAGATAATGATCACAAAATGAAAAGAAAAGGGGCATGAAGAATGTTGGTACTATATTAACTAATTCAAAGAAAGATCCCTACACTGAAAACCACAAACATATAAGTTAAACATGCTGACATAAATCATAAAAAATAGACAGACCTGGACATTGCTCTCTTCCATCAAAATCTCGTTTGCCTTCTCACACAATACCCTTACCTGCATACACAGGTGCAACATGAAATCAGAGTTGGATCAGAAAATAAAAAAGAATCACAACACTCTCAGTGACAAGGCTATTTAAAGAAGTATACTACAATCAAACAGATAATGGAACACAAAAAAAACTGTAATATTTAATGGATTATACTTACCCATTGAAATACAAAACATAGTTGGTCATAAGTAATAATCAAAACAAACCAATTTAATCTGGGGACAAAAATTTTGAATATAACATTACATTTGGTTATGTTAAGTTTCTCTTCTAAGAAAAACAAGTTTTTTTAGCACCTTTTGGTTTTCTTTAATGAAAGCAAACCAACCTAACTCATATTTCAATCAAGATTGCATGCATTCCTTTCTTTAGATTGAGATATGAAAACAAAGGTAGTTATGTGGAGTCAGGAGTGTCTGCAATGAAGCTAGATATGTCAGTTTTGTGTGATTTTTCTATCAGAATTTTGTTATAGCCAATATGTTGTTAATATATTGGGCCACAGACAAGAAAAGGTGCAGTTGAATCATAATTTCAAAATAAAACAAACTGGATGGGAGTAGTTGGTAAGGTTTAGTTATCCAATTGGAACAAAACTGATTTGTTCCCAAATTGGAAAGATTGATTGGTTCAGTTTGGAGGACATTTTTCCCTAAAAAAAGAGAAGTTGTCAATGAAGTATTGCTCTCTGCAGAGGCCATCTCCAAAATGCAACAGCAAGATAGTGGATACGAATGATACTAACACAGAATAGTGTGAAGGAAGATTACTTCTATACAAAGATTATGGGCACAAGATTGAATACATATATTTAAAAAAAAAAAACTTAAAAAATTCAAGGCATGTTTATAAAAAATATGACATATCCATCAAACCATCAAAAGTCAGTCTATATATTTAAGCATTATCAAGAACCATAAGGGATAAAAAAACATGGCACAATCACATACAAAAAAGCTATTTGACAAAGGAATAAAAAGCTGCATAAAAACAGAGCAAAGGCCTAAGAAGTGAAAACAGGGGCTGAGGTTGCTAAAAAAGAACAGGTTTAGCCACAAATGGAATATGTTTGGACAATAATTATCAACACAAATACCACCATAGAATGGCCAACTCAGAAGAAACTATAGCAGGACTTTTATATTTCAATGGATGGAGAGGCCAGTTATTTAAAACCCTAAAATCCTTTCATTCATAAAATAGTGTAAATTGGAAACAAGAAAATGAGTGGCCATAATAAAAAGGGTAGAGATAAAACAAGGATTTCATCATGTTCCAAGTTGTGGCTTCTATAGGTGTGAATTTGTTGGTAAAAGGACAGGGCCACATCCGTGATTAGTGACACGCGAAGTCCAAACAACACAGAGCAATTAAAGCGGACAGAGGATCTTCTACCCCCACATACAACAATAGCAGGTTGTCAGTAGTAACTTAATCTGCCAAAAAGAGAAATTGTTCTTAAACCACAAACTCTTAGGTAGCACTTTGCTATAATTCCCTAAATCCCACCCCACCCATCAAATACAATGACAAGTGCAAATAACAAAAGGAAAGTGAAATTAATTGGAAATGTTTAACTTAACTAGTACAGATGCTTTACAAGATAGGCAGTAGGGGAAAGAAGCAAGGAACTGGCGTATTCAAGGGATCAGCTGTTTTTAATATTTCCCATCAGTTTTGCAGGCACTCCACATGTTCAAAGGAGACAAAATAGGTCTGACATTAAATACACACCTTTAAAATTAGAAAAATAGAGAGACGTCATGCAACTTACATAATGTCTTGGCTGTAGCCATGACTCATAACATTTCCCCAAAACTCTGGCTAAATTTCTTCAGAACCCAAGCCCAACCAACCAAAGACAAAAACCAAAAGCAACCTCTCCAGGTAGACAACAATCCACGTATCAGCAAACTTGAACAAATCCAGACACCCTAACTTTCTGTGATGAAAATAAATCCTCCTTTTTCTACTTTTTAGGAGGAGCAGAGGATTCAAAACACTGTTCTTAACTTATAGAGTTAAGAGGAAATATTCATTTAATAATATTCATTGTCGTCCCTAACTAAGAGGTAAAAAATCTATCTTAAAGATTTTGCCCTCCCTAATCAAGTAGGTAAAAAAACTGACGTATGAAACCACCAGTGAACGTGCTTCTACATACAAAACCATATAACTCAACCACAAAATCCTTATAATCACAACACACACAAGCACATAGAAATATATGGTTTCCTCAATTTCAAATATCCTAAGCCAATGCTAACAAATCTGAAGGAATATTCTAACAAAACGCTCATTCCAGACACCATTGCAATTCCATTAGAAGCCAGATTTACCAAAATGGGTTCAAATTTTGCCACAAAAGCCACAGATCGATGTGCAAGAACCAGCTCGGAGAAAGGCACAAAAGCGATGAGAAACAAGAAAAAGAAGAAATTTCCTCGATCCACGAGTCGCATTTGATAAGAAAGAACGGAGTAAAAGACAGGAAAATAAACATTCAGAAAATTACCTCTTGCTCGGACAAGGGTTTGCACTGCATGAGCTGAGAAATCTGCTCATCGAGGTTTCCATGTGAATTCGAAGGCACCGAATCCATGCTCTAGTACTCCACCTCTTAACCTCGTCTTGTTGGATCAATATCCTCCCACCGAATGGATGGAAACCCTAGATCTCACTGGGAAAACCCCTTTTGCCTTTTCGGTTTGTTTTTGTTGTTTCTGGTTTTGAGAGAGAGAGAGAGGTGAAGGGTGGTGGTGGTGAAGAAACCAAAGCTTTGGATGTTTCGCTGCGCTCGTTTTGTTCGATGACCACTCGTTTTTCGGGGGCAAAATTGAAATTACAAAAAGAAACCGCTCATGCTTTGCCACTAAAACTTCACATTTGGAATTTAAATATTGCAAAGTTCCTTTTAATTAATATATACGAACTTTAAGTATAGTATTTATTTATATTTCATATATATACTTTTGTTGTTTAATTATGTTACTTTCTTCAATCCTCCACTTTTTTATATATATTTTATAACTTGCATTATATTTTACCTTCTACATTTTATATTTTATATTTTATAGTTACATTATAAACTAATTTAAAATAAAAGATAAAACATGTTTTAGATATTTTTAATATTCAAAAATTTATTATAAAAATACATAATACTTTTTTATTTCTTGAGATTCCCTAAAAATACATGTGAAACATATGATAAGAGATGTTCATGCAGGAAATAGGGAAAGTGTAAGAAAGAAAATTACAAAGGTAGTGATGGAATAACTGGAGCAAAAGACGATACGGATTAAAATTTCATTTTCTGATAAACAATGATGATGAATCGAAGAACTCAATGTTTGTAAGATGGATGGGAACAAATAGAACATACCCTTTTCTATTAATTATTTACAAGATTTATTTGGAAACATTGGTTATGAGAAAGCAGAGACATGTTACAATGATTCATTTGTAAAGTTATTATTATGTATAAAAATTATTATAGATTATTCATATATTATTAATCATAAATTTTGACGGATTTTTTTAATAAATAATCAATTTAAACTCTTACTTAAGTATTTTTCTTAATGTTTAACAATATATATATATATATATATATATATATATATATATATATATATATATATATATATATATATATATATATATATATAAATGCAAAATATTACTTAAATTTTAAAATTTCTTGAGGTGAGAAACTCACCTTTCCTTGTGCTATGTCATTGAAGACCTCTCTGTAACCTCTTTCTTAATATTTGTAACTTTTTATTTAAACTGTTTAACTTGATATAATCACTTTGTCAAATTTTAAAGCACTATAATTTATTTTATTCTCAAATATTTTTTATCTTATTTTTGAATTATTTTATGTACAACCCTTTCTTAGATATTCCTTCTTTTTCTAGTTAAGATTTAAGGTTCACTCTTATAAAGTAACTTATTACCTATAATATATATTTGTTAAATTATATAGGTATTAAATGACAATTTTAAAATACGTATTAAAATTAATTATTTTTTTATCACTAATATTTTTAATGACATATGAATAATTTTTTTATTTTATACAATTAAATGACAATTATATTTAACAATATAATAAATTATTATTATTAAATACAGCTGTGAATTGGCTGGATAATATATATTTTTACAAATTCAATACATTTATTCTACCAGTTTAATCTCTGGTTTCCTTAGAAAAGTAAACACTTTTTCGGGTCTCACAACACAATAAAAAAAAAATTATTCTTATTCACGAAGTAGCTCGTTAGACTTTTATCTTTCTTAGGCCACACTGGCCTTTCCGTAGAATTCCTATTCACTTAGTTCTAATTTTAAAAAAAATTGCTTAAATTGTTCATCATATCTATGACAATGATTATTTTAAACAATTTTAGAGTTTTAGATTATTTGGTGTGTGCTGCACTACTTTTCCATCTTATTATCCCTTCTTCCCTCTCCCGTGAAAGGCCTAACATGAGTCTTCCGTTGGAGCTAAAATAATTCCCTGGCCCTGCTCCCGTGCCTAATGCAAGTTTTGTATGACAACAATCTCACATGGTTGTCAATGTCCCTACTAAAGTACTACCAATTGAACTAACATTATGTAACAACCATAAGGCTAAGAGGGGAACCATCTCTCAAAAGCTAGCTCAAGAGATTGGAGAACCTCCTACCTTATAACGCCTCCCTGGTAAGGAGACCTCCCCAACGTGGGACTTGTTACAATACCACCCCATTTGAAAGCCAGCGTCCTCGATGGACGTACTCCACGACACTTCACTCACCGACACTTTACTTGGCCTTCTTACCGGTCAAAACCCTCCAGTGGTCAGAACCCTCCGGCGGTCAGAACCCTCCGTGGGTAACCCTTCTCGAGTTGGCTGACTCGAGATGAAAGCACCAATGTAACAACCATAAGGCTAAGAGGGGAACCATCCCTCAAAAGCTAGCTCAAGAGGTTGGACAACCTCCTACCTTATAAGGCCTCCCTGATAAGGAGACCTCCCCAATGTGGGACTTGTTACACATTAACTTGCTGTCACTATAGAATCCTCATTATTTTCTCCATGATTGGTTATTGCAAAAGGGGAACCCCACCTACGAAGAGTTCTAAACGCTCCAGGGCCTTTTGCAAGCATCTGAATCTCTTGCTCACCCCTTGTACTAGTTTTTACTGCCACCCAGCCAAGTGCGGCAGCAAATCTTGATTTATATACACCAGCAAGAACTTTCACACAGAAGGGTCAAACAATACAACAAGTTTAAAATAATAATTTGATGATTTGAATTTTGAGATTGTGGTAAATGGAGAGATACGGAGAGTCAATAAAGTTGTCTGAAATTATACCATTGAACATTAATGTTTCATATCAACTTTTCCTTGTCTGGTGAGCAATGATAATTTAGATCTCATATGGAGGCTACAACAACCAATTATATAAAACTACTCAAAGAATGATGCCTCTGCAACCTGAATACACCTCCCACTGTTTGATTAATTATTGGTATGGAAGAGCCTGGTTATACAAAATTCCAATCTCCCCGTGGATATAATGTTCGATTTTAATTTAACGACCATGAGATATATGAACAATTTCCCTATGAGTAGTCTTGAGGGTTTAGCAACATCCATGCTATTCAATCCATTTGGTAGCCAGGATACACCTGTAAAACAAAATACTTGTGAGGCTTTCCCTAATTTTGCTTCATTGCAGGGTTGACAAAAACAATAAAAGAAGAAAAATGGTTTAAAAAACTTAAAAGTAAAAAAACATGGTTGAACAATATTTATATTTGTTCAAGTTAATTAACATGGCCTCAGGTACATTTTTATTGTAAACCCAAATATGAATTGCAATTGCAACTCCCGGAAGTGAAAATTAAACTCCCATTTTGATCTATTTTAAAAAGCAATGTTAGAATAAGGATATAACAGCATCGATTGGAGTGTACCAGTCTTGACTCTAACGTTTTACCAAATCATTCAGAGTTAAAATGTAGTCAGCTTAGAAAAGGTATAGTTGCAATTAAGTACATCCAGGCTAGGGTTTTACTGGCAAATTTCATACCATAGTTGGACATAGTACATACTCCAGAAATTGGCACACAATATATTGAACAAAACATATGGGGTGTAATAGCAGAGAGTGGATACATTTCATGTAAGTTGAAAAGTACCCATGCAGCAAAAAAATTTGCTTACCAATTTGCAGTCATTGCAGTTCCTATATAATTCTTAGCAACCAATCAAATAACAAAGGATAAACATTAACAAGAGGCAGGCAGTACCTTAAGTTCACGTTCACCAATAATCCCGGCAGGAGCATAGCCCATCTTTAAAATGGTGGAACCTTTTTGCATCTCGAATAATGAGTTCTCTCCCTACAAGCTTAGAAATAATCTTCAATGCTGTGTGGCAATCACCACAAACACGGAGGTTCTTAATAACCCTGATTGGAGAGCGAGCAGAGCTACTGAGGAGACCATAAGCAACAGCAAGTCTCTCACTGTGAGCAAGAAGAGCTTCTTCTTTGCCTTCCTGGTCTATGTCATGCAACACAAATTTTGTTTCAGGAATATAGCCAGCTTCTTTCATTTGTGACTTTAGACCTCTAAGCAAGGCATATATCTTATCATTTTCAGGATGAGATGTATCTCCTGCTCGATATTCATGGACACGACTCCTTACTTCAAGCAGATTTTTGCTTGCTAACTTCTTTACTTTCTCTTTTGTCAAGTCGGAGGCTTTTGCAGGTACAAGGCCAGCCTTTGACTGATCACTTAAACGAGATGAATCTAGCTGCTCAACTAGCTCGGCACAGCGATCCCCCAGCCCAATGTTCCCATGAACTCTACACAGATTCATCAAAGTCTCCCATATATCAGGACTTGGCTCCATTGGCATTTTTTCAATGAACTCAAAGGCTTCATCCAGATGCCCAATGCTTCCAATCATGTCTACTACACTGACAAAATGAGCCATTGATGGTATAATGCCATAATCCCTGCTCATGGATTCAAAGTGCAGCATTCCCTCATCGATATCTCCCAGCACACTACATGCAGATAGAACTCCAATGAACATCTGCCCATCAGGTTTAAGTCCCAAGCTTTTAAATTGAGTAAAGAGATCAATTGAATCTTCTGCAAACCCATTCTTAGCAAGCTGTGTTATCATAGTATCCCAGGTTGTCAAATTGCGCTCTGGCATATTGTTGAAAATGTTGAGAGCATCATCTACAGAACCACATTTTAAATACATCTCCAATATTCTATTATAAGTGCTGACTTGAAGAGGTGACAGACGTTGTAAAGCATGTCTGTGTACAATTTTTGCCTCTTCAAGAGATTTAGTCTCCCCACATTGGTGCATTAATTGCAAATATCGAGGCAAATCCACAGGAATAAGTAGTTTTTCCAGCAATTCCAGAACTTCAACTGCTTCCTTCACTTTACCTTCAATGCAGAAACTATCAAGTTCCTCAAGTGTACCTCTATATGGACAATCATTAGATACTTCAGCTGATTTGCCATCAGGATTTGCATTACTCGATAGATGAGAGCCAACCATTGATCTCTGTGCAATATTAAAGTTGGGAGAATAATGACCATCGTTTAGACTCTGCTGAAACTGGCCAGAACCTGGGTACTGCTGACGCATTTCATTACCCCCTTTGTATTGAACATTTGATGGCTTTCCCTGTGATTCTAAAGGCCTAGGTGAACTATATGCATTGGGAGGCTGCATCATTTGTCCAGGATCTTGCGTCCAACCATGATTCTCAACAAATGGATTTGTATAAATTCCAGAGACGCACGCATTATCAATGCCTAACCCAACTTTTTGTTCCACTTTCATGTTGTGTTGACCAAAGTATCTATTGGCACTTCCATTATGTCCCACCAAATTATTCTTAACGTTTTGGGGCACATTTAAATGGCCTCCATCTGCAATCTGACGAGTTCCATAAGAATTCTGGTCTGAACTTGCATGATTATTCCAATAAGGCTGACTTGCACTTGCTTGGGTATCAAGTCTTTGCTTATTCAAAGGCTCATTAGAATCAGCCATCTTCCAGCTTTCCTGATAAAACCCAACATTACTCTGCTGGTAACCTAAAGAATTATTATTTTGATTACCACCAGAAAACTGAAAATCAGTCCTTTCAACAGCAGTGCTCATAGCCCTCAATGTATTAAGGCTTTTGATACAGTCTGAAATGTTGTGTGAAGAACATTGTTTGCACAACCTCAAAATAGAATTAACAGTAACTGATGAAACTCTCTTCGTAGACATTATTTGGAAGAAAACATAACCTTAGGAAAGACATTGAAAAGAAAATAAAATTAGAAAAAGAGTAGACATTGGGAGGATGGGGGGAGCATTAATTTTCAGTAAAACCTTAGGAAGAGACAATAAAATAAAAAGCCCATCTCCATTATTTCATGAATAAAGTTTGAGGCATAAAAAGAAATGTTGGTGTGTATATGTTTGTTATTGGGTAATGCTGTCAACTGAGTCAGCCTTCACCCGCGTTCAATCCTGGCCCACAAAAAGACTGGTCAGGCCAAAAGGGCACAAAGGACGACAAAAAGGCCCACAGTATAATAAGCCCATAGAGCCAAGTGGCTAGGACTATACCATGAGACAGTCCATTTTAAAAAACACTATATTGACCCAGTTGTCGAATGGGCTGACCCTTGCCCACCCCACTATAAGCAAAAACAAAATCATAATTCTTATATATTTACATATTATATATGTTAGATATGATTAGATATTAGTTGATATTGTTGAGATATTATTAGATATTGTTAATCACAATATCAAATAATATCTTTTTATTTACTCTATTTGTATTCTGTTACTCTTTTGAGGAGTACCTTTCTTTATTATAAATACACTGTCCTATGTGTGGTAAATACATAAGGGAAATTAACCCTATACAGTTTTTCCCTATATTCAACATGGTATCAAGAGCTTAAGGTCTCTTGGGATTTTTTTTCGGCTCTGCCACTGAACCTGCAGCTGTCGCCGCCTCCATCGCCACCGCCGTCCGCCGCCGCCGCCGTCGTCGCCAGAGTAGCAGTTCGGACCGCCGAGCACAGGGTTTTGCTCGCCTCCCCCGTGCGACCTCCCCCGTGGAAGTTTCGCGGTCATCGGAGCAGCCACGCTCCCTCACGCGCCTCCCGAAGCCGCGCCACCTTCTCCCGTTCCGCCGCGCGTGGCGGCGCGTCTCGCCGCCGTTCAGGCCGCCGATCTTTGCGCCGGCGTCGCCTCCTTCTCCTCTCTCTGGATCTGTCCTCGCTGCTCCAATCGGACCTCTTTGGTATTTTAGGGTTTTTCTCTCTCTTCCTCCATGGCATCTTCCGCTGCCAATTCCAATTCTGAAGTTACCTCAGTCAGCTCCGGTGGGTCTGAGCAATCTGTTTTTACTAATTATGTCAATGTGAATTTACCCATTGATAAATTAGATGGTACGAATTATTCAACTTGGGCATCTGATATTAGACTTTGGCTTGAGAGTCAGGGGTATGTTGATCATCTTACTACCAAGGTAGATGATGTTCCTTCCAATGATCGTGTCCGTTGGAAGAAAGTTGATGCTCATATATGTATGGTTCTCAAGAATACCATCCAATCTTCTTTAAAACAAATTTTTCGATCGTATGGCACATGTTATGACGTTTGGGAACAAGCCAAATTATTATACACCAATGACACTCAACGTCTTTAAGGTGTTTGTTACAATCTTCTTGATGTTATTGCTCCTCGAGATAAGGATCCTGTGGCGGATTATGTGGGTAAGATCCATGCTCTTCTCCATGAATTTAATGAGTTATTACCCCCTGCCTCGACTCCTGCCCAAGAATTAGAGCAACGATCAAAGTTTTTCATGGTTTTGATGTTACACGGACTTGCTGATAAATATGCCCCTGTTCGTGACCAGATTTTGGGTTCCCCTGTTACACCCAGTTTTATCGCTACCAGTTCCTCCCTTTTGCGGGTGCCATGTAAACCTCTCAATATTCCCCCTATAGTTTCTAATGATTCATCTGCCTTGGCCTCTCACCGTGATGATCGTAATCGCTCTCACAAGCCAGGCAAAGGGCGTGTCAAGTGTGACCATTGTGGCAAACTAGGCCACAAAATTGACAAATGTTATGCTTTACATGGTTATCCTCGCCGATCTGCTGCAGTTGCTCAAACTGATTCTTCCGCACAATCCTCTGCTGTGGATCCTCCTTCGTCTGTACCTTCAGACAAATCTGCTATCTTCAATGATTTTCTTCAATGGTATGAGGATCGAAAGCCCTCCGGTTCCACTACTTACGTTGTCCACACAGGTACATCTTTTCGTTGGTCCGACTCACTCTTCTTCTATTGGCCCTTGGGTTCTTGACTCGGGCGCCACCGATCACATCACTTGGTAACAAATCCTTATTTTCCTCTTTCACTTCTTCTCATAATTTACCCTCGTTACAATGGCTAATGGGTCTACAACTTTAGCTCATGGTGTTGGAACGGTTACTCTTTTTCCCTCGTCCATTGATAATGTTTTGTATGTACCGGGTCCCCCTTTAACTTATTATCCATTAGCCAGTCTAACTCGATCTCTTCATTGTGTTATCTCTTTTACCAAAACTTCTGTTTCCCTACGGAACCGGAGCTCGCAAAGAGTGATTGGCACTAGGATGTGAGTCACATGGACTTTATTATCTTCAACCTTCTCCACATGTTGGCACATTTATGGAGTCTCCTTCTCTCCTTCATGCTCGGCTTGGTCACCCCGGTCTGCGCAAATTACGGCAACTTGTTCCCGGCTTATCCCAGTTGTCCAATTTGGTGTGTGAGTCCTGTCGGTTAGGCAAACATAGTCGTACTTCCTTTTCTCGTAGTGTTTCCCGGCGTGCTTCATCCCCCTTTGCCTTAGTTCACTCGACATTTGGGGACCCGGTCGTGTTAAGTCTAATTTAGGTTTTCAATATTTTGTTACTTTTATTGATGATTTCTCTCGTTGTACTTGGTTATTTTTAATGAAAAATCATTACGAGTTGTTTTCTATATTCCAAAACTTTTATCATGAAATTAAAAATCAATTTGGTGTCTCTATTCAAACTTTTCGAAGTGATAATGGCAGTGAATATCTTTCAAACTCGTTTAAACAATTTATGGCTTCTCATGGCATTCTTCATCAAACTTCCTGTGCTTATACCCCTCAACAAAATGGGGTGGTTGAGCGCAAGAATAGACACCTTATTGAAACAACTCGTACTCTTTTAATTCATGGTGAGGTTCCTCAACATTTTTGGGGTGATCTTTGTTCTTCTTGCTTGTTATCTTATTAATCGTATGCCCTCTTCGGTTTTAGATAACAAAATTCCCCATTCTATTTTATTTCCTCATGACACTCTCCATCCTTTACCTACGAAGGTTTTTGGGTCTACTGTTTTGTCCACAATTTTGATCCTGGTCATGATAAGTTATCTCCTCGATCACACAAATGTGTTTTCTTAGGATTTACTCGATCCCAAAAAGGATACAAGTGTTTTTCTCCTTCTCTTAATCGCTATTTTGTGTCTGTAGATGTCACCTTCAATGAGTTTTCCTTTTACTTTAAGGACCCTACCCTACCTGCTGAGTCTCCATCTGCTACGGTTCCTATTCCTGTTCTCATTGATCCTTATGTTGAGGACCATCCACCATTAGCCCCTCCTCCTCCACCACCCCTTCGGGTTTATAGTCGCGAGACCTCGCCCACAACAGACGCCACATGACTCACTCCCGAGTGCCAAATACTCGCCTCCTCGGGTTCAGTCCACGAGTCGACCTTCCTATTGCCCTTCGTAAAGGTACGCGTTCTACTCGTAATCCTTCTCCACATTATCTTGCTTTAAGTTATCATCGAATTTCTTCACCATTTTATACACTGTCTCTCGTCTATTTCTTCGTGTCTATTCCTAAATCTGTCTCTGAAGCCTTAGCCCACCCTGGTTGGCGTCGAGGCCATGCTAGATGAACTCGGTGCTCTTCGGACTAGTGGAACCCGGACGCTTGTCCCATTACCATCCGGAAAATTTGTTGTTGGTTGCGGGTGGGTCTTTGCTATCAAGGTTGGTCCCGATGGTACTATTGATCGCCTCAAGCTCGCCTTGTAGCCAAAGGCTATACCCAAATTTTTGGGTTGGATTATGGTGATACTTTCTCTCCGAGTGGCAAAGATGGCTTACGTTCGTTTATTCATTGCCATGGCTGCTATTCAACAATGGCCTATTTATCAACTTGGATGTCAAAAATGCTTTCTTGAATGGCGATTTGCAAGAAGAGATTTATATGGAGCAACCTCCGGATTTGTTGCTCGGGGAGTCTTACGGATTGGTATGTCGTCTTCGCAAATCTTTATATGGCCTAAAACAGTCTCCTAGGGCCTGGTTTGGAAAATTTAGCGACGTTGTTCAACAATTTGGCATGACTAGAAGTGAGGCGAGACCACTCGGTCTTTTACGAGTCACTCGAATGCTTGGATGTATCTATTTGATAGTGTATGTCGATGACATTGTTCTTACAGGTAGTGACCATCATGGCATCTCTCGGATGAAACAACACCTTTGCCACCATTTTCAAACCAAAGATCTTGGCAAACTCGGATATTTCTTGGGTATTGAGGTAGCACAATCTACCGATGGCATTGTTATATCTCAAAGAAAGTATGCATTGGATATTTTGGAGGAAAGCTGGGTTGATGAATTCAAAGCTCTGTTGACACACCCATGGATCCTAATACCAAACTCTTGCCAAATCGGGGGAGCCAATGTCGGATCTCGAACGGTATAGAAGATTAGTTGGAAAATTAAATTATCTTACGAGTTACTCGCCCGACATTTCCTTTGCGATCGGTGTGGTGAGTCAATTCCTCAATTCTCCTTGTCAAGATCATTGGAATGCGGTCATCCAGTATATTGAAGTACATCAAAAAGTCTCCTGGAAAAGGTTTGGTGTATGACTCCCATAATCATACAAGAGTTGTGCTGCTATTCGGATGCTTGATTGGGCGGGATCTCCCTACGATAGAAGATCTACATCCGGGTATTGTGTTTCCATTGGTGGTAACTTGATCTCATGAAAAAGTAAGAAACAAAGTGTTGTGGCAAGATCCGGTGCGAAGCGAGTATAGAGCTATGGCCTCGGCTACCTGTGAACTTATTTGGCTCAAGCAATTTCTTAAAGAGCTACAATTTGGAGATGTCACTCAAATGACACTAGTGTGTGACAATCAGTGCCGCTCTCCATATAAG